CAGTATTTCCTTTTGTTTTTCTTTATCGTTCACTGTGGTATATAGGTTGTATGGATTGTTATATATTTTATCAGCTAGATATCACAATCTTTAATGTTCCATGGAAGTATATGTTGGCAAAACAAGGCTTCCTAAAAATACTTAACTTTGAACAATATTGAGAACAAGCAGCAGAACTACAGACAGGTAAGAGGAAACAATGCCTGCGTCATGGGAAAACCAGGACAAACTCTCAAATCAATACAAATGGTCAAACCTATTTAAGAAGGATGAGATACAGAGGAAGATCAAGAATGAGGATACATGTGTAGGAGCAGGATGTACTGATCGTTCAGCCAGAATGAGGAGGATAGGCAGCATGAGGTCAGGCAAGAGCCCACAAATCGTTTTTGGCACTTCTGATGGACAAGGACAGAGATGAAAGTGCATGTTGCATGCTACAGCATTGACAGGTCAGGCAGAGAAAGTACATGCCGTATAGTGCATTGCTTATGACAGGAGCCTCCTGAGTTTAGGAATGCAAGTTTCTTATCTATGGTGAGCACAATCATGTTCTTCCTATGGCATTTGTGAATCCATCCATCAATTTGTTTGGTTGTGTGCCTGCTGTCCGAGGCTGTGTCATCATACTAGAATTTACTGCCTGTCCTTTAAATCTTAAATTAACTCACTTATCAAACTAACCATGTCTATATCAGACCTTTGGCTTCCCTGCTCAAGAATGTGGCCTGTTATCACATGGTCCTAGATTATTGTTTTCTGTTCAGATCAGCATTACTATGGTATGAAACTATACATATCCTGGCCCGGGAACTCTGCTTTTAACTCCTTTCCAGGTATAATTTGTTATTGTACACACTACTAAGCATGCGGAAATGTATATCTGTGTAAACTGATTTGAACAGTCTAATTAATCTGTATTTATATCATTAATTCTTAAAGACATTTTGGCTGACTTAATTTTTTTTAGGTTTAATATTCTCTGAGTGGTTTCTACAGTACATAGATTAGTGCAGTTTAGAGCCTTCTGATGTCCCCAGCATTCACAGTCACAGAAATAAATAGTAATAGTAATAATAATAAAGGTAGGAGTATAATGGTGCTCTGTTCCATCAAAAAAATAAAGGTTGGGTGAGAAACTAAGTATTTTAGACCATTTTATCTTGTAACTCCAGGCTTTTTTCTTGAAATCTAAGGATGTTAATAGGATCTGCATGGATGAAGTTCAAAGGTTTTTTGTGAAACATAGGTCATATATTTGTTATGATTATCCAGAAAATAATTTTATCTTTCTCTTGGTCTATTTATGCCTTTCTTTCCGTTATTAAATTTTCAGTTTCCCATGGGGAAATATTGTTGGTTATTATTTCACAACGCATTTGCCAGACCACTACCTGCATCTTCCCTTTGGGTCATGTCATCAAGTGATTTGCCAGTATAATTAGGTTTCCAACGACTGCCAGTAATAATATCATGGTTCAACTAAATCAATAACTTCAGTAAGGCTAAGCTGTCACCTGCATATCATGTTATCTAACTGTGTTAGTGGAAGGTTGACTAAATATTAATATCTATTTCAGACATCTCACATTAATATGTATTAGAGGAAAACTGGGAAAGTAGTCAACACATTCCTCCTAGGAAGACAATAGGAACTTCTCTTATTATAAAGTCAAGGCACCCCACATCCTCTGTAGACTGCTGAAGCTGGTTTTACAATGGGGCTGTGATTTTGCTCTTCAGATACTTGTCTTTGAAGCAGTATAAAGTATTAAATATGTACTCTGCAAGCATCATTGTAATTAACTGGTGATGATTATTATATTTGGAATTGTTGCCAAGCAGCTCCCCTCTGTGTTAACAGAAGGCAAAGTGAGTCTGGCTGCTAATAAACTCAGTTAATTGCTTGTATGGAGGCTGGAAGTGAATGCAACACTTGCTTCTATTCTAAGGATGTTTGGATAAATGTGAAAACATCTGAACCCAATTTTGATAAATCTTGGGTGCTGATTAATAGAAGATACACAAATTAAAATGTAAATTTTATATATAGTGGAAAAGGCTGAACTGTAAATGGCAAAGATATTTTCTCCTATCTCAAAAACGAAAATAACCCAGACTGTGATCCCTCCAAACACATGGGCACTACTCTGCAGCTCTTCTATGTCAGACCTCAGCGGGAGTTATATACATAGCAACACATAAATTGCACGTTGATAAATTCACAGAATTATTCAACTGGGCCTCATGTAAATATGAGTAGCACTTAACAGCTGAGGCTACCCCTTAATCTATTGGTTTGCCCTTTGCACCTTCATCTAGGTGAAAAGTTTAACTAAAAATAGGAAAGAGGGAACATTATACCATTAACTGACCAGTTGATGTATGAACGAAGGGGGAAGTCAAATGTCATATACACAATGGTCACAGTTAGCAGAAAGGAAACTAGTATTTAATGTCTTCAGGTACAACCTAATGTCATGTACAGATACCAAAACTAGGAGAAGCCAAGGCTAGTCATGGGCATTGTGTCTGTGTCATGTAACTAACACATGTCGTATGCCTAGTTAATATTATATTCATGTCAGCTCAGCATTGCATGAGGGCACCTATCTAAGCTAGTATCTCTTTGAGCTGCTGCACCGTACTGTACTTGGGTCTTGTTAACTTTCATGTTCCTCTAGAAATGTGGTAATATACTTCATTAGTGTCCCATAGTAATGTTATAAACTTGTTCAGTTTTTGTCTTGCACCATCTGGTATTTTGTGTAAAGCTCTCATTCCTGAAGGTGTGATTTGCCGTTCTTTTATCTCTTGAAAAAGACTTGAAAGGTAACATAGATGGTAATATGGATTATGCAGAAGATGCAGCTATCAGGAGATAAATTGTAAAGATTCATCTATTTAGATCTTATTACTTTTAATAAGGTATATCTGCTATTAAATATGTCTACCGTCTTCTCCTGCAGAGACCTTTTTCTTGGAAAATTAAAACTAGCTGATGTGTACATGACATCATGACTGGGGGCATCTGATTCCACTTTTAAATACCTAAAACTAAACACAGCTGAAATATATTATGCTACTTAATCAATAACCAGTATTTCCTTTTGTTGGCAAATACTATATGCTGAAAATATGGCATTTATGGGTATTTTACTGCATTTAAAGATTCAATTTCTTAGCCCATAAAACATGCTGGTTTGGGTTTTTTTATTATTTTATTTGTTTGGGGGGAGTTGTGTGGTTTTTCTTTTTTTGTTCTTTTTTTTGTTGTTGTTGTTGTTGTTGTTGTTTTTTAATTTAATTTTATACAGTTCAGAAAAGAATGCCAAACAAGCATGGATGAAGAATGAAGTGACTTGCTAAATTCAGAATTTCAGTCCTTCGTTTACTCTCCTATCAATTCAGTTAAAGTTTCCTGGTTCAGGAAAAAGGTGGTTTCTGGTAATATGAGATTTAGGTCAAAATTGAAGAAATTCAGTCACTATGTCATTGCCAGCTTTCAAATTCCATGTTGGTTTTTGTGAGGATTTTTACTTCAATAATCTTTACTTTGTGAAAAGTACATGAGATCAATGTACTTCAACAAAATATTGCTGAAAATAAGTTTCTAAATGTTTATTACTTTTTCTGAAAGCAATGCTGTTTTTTGTCACATAATGGAAATTTTATTAGCACCTCATGTTTTGAAAAATTATTCTGTAAAATCCCCGTTTGAGAGTGGGAAGCAATGATAAAATTTCAGAAAAGATACAAATATTATCAAGACTTCTGCATGATTTTTTTAGTGTGACTTGTTAATGTTGTCTCTGATTGTGTTACTAGCCAGACTGTATATGCAGAAAAAATAATTTTCTACATTTCTTTGCAGCAATTTATTCCTGAAATATGAGATCTAGATTTCCTATACAGCGCATTGTATTTTTAGAAGGAAGAATGTAAGATTGTTATTGCAGGAATTTGCCTGACTGAAAAAACTTCAGGATTTGGCCCAGGCTTATGGACTTTATATGTGCAATTTGTTTCCGTTGTCACTGAAGTGCAGACATCTCATGGGGAAGGTGTTGGCTGTTCAGTTGCCCCTGGCATCCCTCACCACTATTCAGGCCAAGTGGCCCAGGAGTAAAAAGCCCCACATCTCACTGAGACTGTAAATGGGATGTATTCAGCAGGCTGTAGTTACACAAGCTGGCACCTACTCAGGACACGGCTAGTAGTATTCCCCACTTGCAAGAAGTTGTCATATTTCTAATGAGCACAAAGGGATTTCTAATGGGCACAAAGGGATTTCTAATGACCAAAGGGATTTGGTCTCCTCCAGGTTCTTTTCGCCATGGCTGGGAATTCGCTTAACTCCAACTCAGTGGGAAATGTGCTCTTCCGACCCACACTGCTTCTGGGAGCTTCCTGAACATTTCTGAGAACTTTCTATCCAAATACTGATCAAACTATTCCATGCTTTGGAGAAAACCCATAGGAGGGCAACCAGAAGGATAGGTGGTGTAGAAAAAATAACCCATGAGAAAAGGTTGGATGAGCCAGCTTTGTTTAGTTTAAATGAGAAACCTTAAAGGAAATGTGAGCACTATCAACAGGCTTCTGCAAAAGTGGGTGTATTTTTTGTTGTTATGGTGAGTTGGACAAGAAACAGCACAAATTGCAACAGGGGAAAAAAATAAAAGCTTTGAAGAGCAGACAGCTAAAACACCTAAAAATACCCAAAAGTTAAAATTTCCATCTCTGGAAATTTCTACAGAGGTGTTAAATAACATCTGCAAAGAAGGGAAAAAGTGATCCAACAAATTCTCTCCTAGCTCTATCACCTATGATTCCTTAGTTTACGTGTCTGTTAAGATATAGCCTGAGACCCATGTGTACCATTGATGGATTTATTTGTCATAAATGGATGGAATTTTATCCATCAATACACATACATGTCTACATATAGAAAAATATCAATATAAGTGTCTGAAATATATGGCTAAATGTGATTTCCCTCTCTGTAGGAATTACTGATTGTAACACACTGAAATATGTCTTCAGTAGCAGTGCCATTTTACCAGAGGAGGCACAAACACTTTGATCAGTCCTACCGCAACATTCAGACAAGATATGTCCTTGAGGAATATGCCGCAAGAAAGTAAGTACTGTGTATTTCACATACAGAGCATAGAGAGTTTTCAATTTTGGTTCTTAAGATATTAAGCTTCTTCCTGTGTTCTCCTTCCTCCTCCCCAATTGTGATTTGTTCAGAATAAATTCTGAACATAAATTTGTTCTGAATAAATTTATTCTGCTATTTTCCAGTTCCTTTCATTGGGATGCTCCTTGTCTGTAGTCTGCCACCAGCATAGCTAGACTTTCTAGTTACATTGGAGCACACCTACACAGACTTTTTAGCTCAGGGTCTGTTCTGTTTTCTACCTCCAAGTTGGAAATTCTTCCTTTTAGACTCTGATTGAAAAAACTGACTTCAGAAAAATTGCCATGAAATTTATTATAAATCAGAAACAATTTTTTACCCATTATTCCATACGATATGAGGACATTTCTTCTCCTGAAGTTGGCTATTTATAATTATGGTTTTGTCATTCAATTTCCTTTTTAAAAATTAAATAAACGATTAACTCCTCTCACATGAAAAATCAGAGTTTTAGTCACAAGATACACATTTTTTTGTATCCCAAAGTCTCGAGCATTGAATCTTGGTTGCTTAAGAATCGCTGGCCTCCCTTCTCAGTAAAGATGCATAGCTAGCCTAGCTAGCTGTCTAGCTTGTCCAGTTTACCTTATGGCTCAGAAGAGTTAATGCAGAAGGTTTTGTGATGTATAGAAAGGCAGGAATATTTAGAAATAATGGTGTAGGGTTTCTATGTGACTTGTGTATTAGACAGGCTTGTACTCATAGTTCACTGAAGGGCTATAGTAGAACTTGAACGATCAGAGACTGAGACAAATATAAATTTAATAGAATGAAATGCCTGATAATCCCCAGTGACAGATAATGATGGGCCCTTGAAGAACAAGTAGAAGTGGAACCCTAGTGCAATCAGTGAGGAATGAAAAGTGAGTTCCTCACTAAACTGTGCTCAGTCATGGTATTCAGGTCATTTAAAGTAATTTTTTTTGACTTTTGTAAGTTCATGTTTTACCAGAATTGCTGGGTTATAACAATGTCTTTTATATTTGAAGGGCTGCTTCCAGACAGACTGCTTATTATGAATTACCTGGCCTGGGAAAAACAACATGCAGACTCTGTGCCAGGAGGGCACGCAGTTTGGCTCATGAGGCAATACAAGAATCTAGGAAAAGGTAAGGCTCTGTTGGTCCCATCTGACCTGTGTAGTGGGCCTGGTTTTGTTCTTCAATAATCTATTTTGGCTGGAGTAAGTACTAAATGACTGAGTGTCATTTTCAGTCTCATATTTCACCCCAGGGTTGTTTCTCTAATCTCCTCTCTGACCCTTGAAAACAGCTTTAAAACCAAAATAAATTAGAATCTGCCTGGGATTCCAAACCAATTTCTGAATAGATCTACTCCAATATTCCTAAATTTCTGATTTGAATCAATTTAAACTTTTTGAGTTCTTTCCTTAATATCAAGAGGGATTACTGTCACATCTCAGTTACAGCCTTGATATGAAGTCCTATAGTAAGTGTGCTGCTGATGGCAATGTTCGTGCTTGAGAATTTGAATGTACACTGCCATGCTCTCCAGTAACAGTACCAAGGACATAGATAATTTATACTACAAGAACAATTTCTGCCTTTTTTTTTTTGTAGAAAATGTGTTGCGAAAATAATATACATCCATATGGTTCTGTTACTTTGATTGTTTTGAAAGATATATCTTAGAACCTGAATGTTCTAGGAAAATTAAACTAATTTGTATGCTCTAATTTATTTTATAAGAAACTGTCTTAAATTTTATCAATTAAGAAGAAAAATGTGGCAGAGCAAGGCTGGTATTTACACTGAAATGGTAAAAAAGAAATATTTTTAAAAATAACGGACAAATAACTTCTTGGTCCACTGTTCACTGCACTTCATGCAGGTCTTCTTATTTGCTTTGTGACATGCAAGTTGGGTGTGGGTTTTTTTAGGAATTCTGAGAAATCTAGGGAGTGTGGTTTTCACAGAACAACCCACAATTTTCTCAAAACACTGTCTTTTCCTGGTAGTTTCTAGAATACTTCCTGGTCACTCTTGCCCAGGGACAGCCTTTTTGCATGGATTTCATCAAACCCTTGTGAACTCCTTGGTCTGTATTTTTCAGGTGAGCTCAGCTGATACAGCCCATGGAGAGCTTCCCAGCTGCTAGGGCCAGAGGCACACCATAAGCAAGGCCCAACTCTTATTAGGATGCAAACAGGCACAGAACATGCCTGCACTCCTCTGCCTTCTTATGTTGATGGGCCGGAAAATTAGGGGCCAGAAGGAAACCAGGCAGGTTCTTGATCTCTATTATCAGAAGACTAGGACTGTGGGTTACATCATCAATGTGATCATGACAGCTTTCAAAATCTGAAGCTATCTATGGCACCAATATACTAGGGAAAAGAAAATGAAAGAAAATTCATATTCATTTCACATATTCATTAGGATAGGCAAATAGACTCTAAGAATATTTCTTAAATGAAATTTTACATCTTGCTGATACTGTTTCAGAGTTCTCAGTTGCCTAATGTGTATGAACGACAATCTTAAAGCTTCGTATCGATTAATCTTACCTGATATGTTTTCTTGTCCTACAGAACCCATGAACAAAAGACTCATGCAAGTGAAGAGAAAAGAATACGGTTCGCCAATGAATTGTCTGTTTTGGAAAAAGAGATTCACACAGCCAGGCACCGTGCTAGAGAACATCTGGATAGACTTGAAGTGCAAAGGATGGTATGGTGCCAAACCTTTTTGTTCCTATCCAAGCAGAATTATAAGATGTACTGAAACTGAGGCCTGTGTTTCAAACAGCAATAGTGATTTAGCATCTTTTAACTTTGTGGATTTGAGATTAGATTTTCTACCTATTTGAGTCTTGTGCTAGATGTATTTTTTTTTTTTAATTTTAATTTTATTCCTGTGTTTAATAGGTGGAAGAAAACATGGCTCTAGAAAGACACGCTCTTGAAGAAAGTATAAGTCGAGCTCCTGAAATACTAGTACGCCTGAGGTCTCACACTGTCTGGGAAAAGATGTCTGTGAGCCTTTGCTTCACTGTGCAAGGATTTCCCACCCCTGTTGTACAATGGTAAGAGGCTTTCCTAGCCCTCTAAAAATGTTGTTAAGCTCTTTTCATTTGTAAGTTATGGCATAACTGATAAGTGTCACATACATAATGGCTGTGTTAAACCTCCTTTATAATCCTCATAGATGTGCTGGATTGTAGCAGTTGATACTGCAGTGGAAGGAGTGGGAGGACAACTTGCTGAATGGCCCTGTGCAATGTGAGAAGCAAACTCAAGTATTTCAGAAGGCAGGCTGTGGAAGGCATTCCAGTCTTTCTGGCCATTGAATTCCCTCATGATGAAGTAGCAAATGGCAAAATAGACAGACTACTTGCTAAGCCTGTGTAAACTTGTACGTTATTGTCATGGGCTGTTACTGTGTTCAGTTTGTGTCAGCCTCTCTTGAGGTGGACATTAATGTAACATCTCTGAAGCTGCCCTACTCTCTGGACAAGTGCTGTCCTGTATATGTGAGGGCCCAGGCTAGACAGAAAATCTAACCTGAGTCACAATCCTGTTGCTGCTTCCCTTATTTGTGATGAAGTGCTTTACTATGATCTAAGACAAAGTTTGCTTTACATGTTGTGTTTTGTCATGGCAAGTGGACTGGAAAGTTCAAGTCACATGCCATCTTCTCTCTACTTCACTGCCTGCTTTTTCGATTTGGGTGCACATCTTCTCTTTCCAGTTGCTTACTAGAGTGATGGTCCCCCTTTTGCCTTCATGGCCCAGTGTGTAACTATTTATACGTGCTGGAAAATACTCTATGCAAGTAGAGAAGATTAATAGAGAGAGATCAGATGATAGTGAATGGTATCTGGATGTAAAAATCTACTAAGCTAATGCAGTGAATACTAATAGATATTAATTGGTTCTTTTTTCCTTGATTTTCAGGTACAAAAATGAAGAATTGATTAGCCCTGCAAGTGATCCAACAAAGTACAGAATTGAAAGCAAATATGGAGTACACGTGTTGCATATAAACAGGTAGATTATTCTAGGGTGTACAACAGTTTTGTATACTCTAAGCAAAGCATTTTGTATCAAATACAGTTAAAAATTCACACAAAGGCTGCAAGACAGTTGTTAAATTCAGCACAATTTTCTGTGGTTCTCACATTTAGGCTGGAGAAGGTTAACTAAGCTGCTGAATGAAAAATGAAATGAAAAATTAGATATTTCAATTATTTATCTCCAGCAATCTACAAGAAGATAAAAAAGGAGAGGGAAGTAGCTGAAAGAATGGTAGTTCCCTTTTTTATTAGAATTATATCTTCTCAGCATTCAAAGTGGAAAAATGTCTGTGTTTTAAGTTCCTGCCGTGAAGAAGCTAAAATTTAGCTGATCACACAAGGATACCTAGTTATTAGTATTGTATGTTAGGGTAAGTTTGCATGTTGGTCTCCATTTTTTTGTTCTCAAAAAAGTAAGGAAGTATAAGTTATTTTTTAAAAAAGGTTCTACTTTAATTAATTTATTTTTTCAAAATAATTTTAACCTAGTGGGATAGAAAATGCTGGGGTAGAACAGCTTCCCAAAACTAATCCCACACTGTCCTAAACAATGCTGCATGTGACTTGGTACAATGTTTTGTAAAAATGTAAAAACCCAAAGAAAAATGAAGATATGACTGTGGTGTTTAAAAAGAAAGCTAATATGTAGAGCAGAGACACAAAACCTCACTTTTAATTTATCCAGAACATGAGCATCAGATGTGCTGAAACAGCTGTAATATTTGTGGCTAATACTTTGCTAGCCAAACATTTCGTGTTCTATCCTGTCTCTATCTGTCACCAGTGGAAGCAGCCCTGAGCACAGTCTTGTGGCATTAGTACAGTGCTTTCAGGAAAGACTACTTGCCTTTTTCATCCTGTAGCAGTCGGGGATTAACTGTCAGTCCAATTGCCCACCTTTTCATTGTTCAGGATGGGAGAAACGTACCTCTGTACAGAAGCTGGTAGCAAGAATTACTATGTTGCTGCTTCTTAAGAGATGTTTCTCAAGGAGCAGTAGTACTTACAGGTACTTCTAAAACACTCATGTAATCTTCTACCCCTAGGACATGGATTACTTGCTGACTGCTACATCCATGAGATGTCTCAACACAGCTGATCCTTCCCACCAACATTTCTTTTGGAGATAAGAGCATGAGGTTAAAAGATAAAACCATGTTGTCCTCTTGCAATCCTCTCCCTTGCAGCAGGGAAAATGGAAAATTCATTTGTCTGGATTTGTGAGCAACAGTCAGGAGATGAAACTTTGGTGACTGTGACTCACAGCCAGTCGGTGTCTGTGACTGTTTATTTCGCTTGGTTAGTGTTCATGAGCAACTGCTTGTAGGGTCCAGATGCTGGATATGTATTATGTAGGTTCCTTTGGTGACATTTTGGGAGTAAATGGCTTTTTGAAGACGTGAGAATCAGTGCTGATGCTCCTTTCTGAGCCTCTGTAACCATCAGGCTGAAGGGTACTAGTGGCTTACATCCCCTTGGTGCTGTTTTTTCTCTTTCGAGTGCTTGTTATCAGTCATTCAGTCACCATCCACAATCAGCTTTGGGAGTGTTCAGACCCAGCCATATTTAATCAGACACACCACAGAGTCATTTATTGGCACCCACTCAGGTTCCCACACCCACCTATATCATTACCCTTTGTTTATTAGTCTCAGACCTGCAGGTATTCATGCAGGCTCTCTCACATTCAACCAAGCTGCCATCTTCAGAGACTGTTGCTCCATTTCTCTTTCCTTCTGTGTATCAGTGTGGCCTTTTTGCCACCTAAAGATGCCTAGCTGTTCTATTCCAGGTTTCCTGTCTTCTCTTAAAAGAATACCTTGGGGACTGTTATGATTTATTTACCACAGATTGATACAATTAATTAAATTCAAGTTTCTAACCTTAAATTTATTTAAAACTAATCTATTTTATTTCAAAACTTGAATATCAGCTGTATTTTCTGTCCCAAAAGACAGAAAATCAACATGCAGAAAATGGAATAATGTTTTGATAGTGCATTACTATCATTAGATGATTTTTGCATTGAAAACAATGGATGTATAGGCAGTGGTTAAAATATATATATATTATTAATGTTTGTATATAAGCATGTGTCAATTTGCTCTTGATTTTCCATATGTATCTTTCTGCACATGTATTTGGAGGTTTTTTTTGGTTTTTTTTTCTGTAAAGTAGAACTCTTGGGATTTTCTACCTATCAACTTCTGTGCTGTTCTCAGCTGTTCATACCAAAGTGCTGAGCTGCGTGTCATCTGATCTGCAGTCACTCAGAATGGCCTTGGAATTTCTTGGCTACCTTTCTGGCCCTTTAGTGAGGCTCCGGGAGTGAACTTTTCCTTCTGATGCAAGTGTGATATTTATTCCTATGAGTATTCCTTGATACCAATGGAAAAATTCTTGAGGCACCAAAACCAGAACGTCACCTCATCAACTTAAAGTAGTAACTGGACAAAGTTTCATACACTCTGTTTGTTGTCTTCCAGGGCTCATCAGCCTATACAGTAACCAGATCATTCTAATTTCTCTGTCTCATATTTTCATGATGCTCTGTACTCAATTTACGACATTTTCTGCATGCATTCAGCACTATCATTATCATATAACATCTCTTTCTTCCTCCTTTTATACTTCATCAAATGAAAGCTTGAGCTTAATGTCCCCCTTGAGCAGTAAAGAAAAGGGGTTTGGAGTTTCACTATTTTTTTCACACCTCTCAGAATTATAGGAGAAGAGGTATTGCCAGCCTGCACAGGGGTAGTCATTCATCTCATCTCTCATCTCACTTATGATATGTGATTCAGAGAATACTGTGAGGAACCCTCTGAGGGAAGGCTACTGGTAGTTGAAGTGATTGATACGTATCTGAGAATATGAGGATTTGTTTAAAGTATATTTCTTTACCCCACCTAATTTAACTATAGGTAGGGAATGTAATACAAGATTTCTGTATCAGAGGTGTTGAGATGAAGATGTCCTGTTGCTTTATAGCATAGCTGCAAAATATATTCTGCCTTAGTGTATAACTTACGTAGTCATTAAAAATCACAGCACTTTGAATTTCTTGGTTGCCACTACTTGTTTAGCAACAGGCTTTGGTTTTTTGTTTATTTGCTTACTGTGATGATTCCTGATGTGAATCACTTAGATTTATGCAGCTGTGAATGGCTACATTGCATTTCCTGGTACATCCGCTGGGGCATAGAGGGGACAGCAATGTGCTCCTGTCTGAGGACATTCCTGACCCCCACCCCACAGTGCGCAGACAGGGGAGCTGATGAAGGCTGGACAGCAGAAGGAGCAGAGGAGGAGGTTCTGTTCTCCACAGTTCTGTGAGTGTGATGTGACTGCACAATCTCATCTATGGAAGTCTCAAAGTTTGGGGCATTTTGTCTTTTAATAGGGGCCTCTCCTGTTTCATTAAGCCGTCGCTTAAGAAGTGCTTGCAATTGCAGCGGAAAAGGTTTGTGGTTGCATCAGTAGAAATGCGTGATCGAGCCGGCAGAGTGCAGTGTAATACCTGCTGCCAGGAGGCAGAGCTGGCCGCCTGATCAGGCGCTCTGCTGAGCACCACCAGCATGACTTTAAAGAAAAAAAAAAAAAAAAGCTTAAAAATTGAATGAATCTTCTGTTCTAACTATTCTTATTTAACAAATGACACTGTGCAGTCAGTGCAGAGCTATTTTAGTTTGATTAGGCACAAAAGGTTTGAGGTGATTTAATCTGAGCAGAGAGGTAGTGAGACCTGCTTTTTCTCCTGCTGTAAGCAGCAGTAGAGCAGAGGCATTGCAGCAAAGGCAGTCGTCTGGTGCAGAAGGAAGAGCCTTTAAGCAGAATAAGGTTAATTGGATGATAAACTGCAGCTCCCAGGTCTTTGCAAATATGCAGTACCAGTGAGTGCGTAGGCAGCAGGCTTGAACTCTGCTCTTCTTTCCTTGCTGAAATGCAAGAAACAGCCCGCAGTCTGTGATCTTCTGAACTGTCACTGTCCATTATAAGCTGCAATAGTAGGGAAGTGGCCACCTCATAACAGAGGTCCCCTCTTCAGTAAAAACAAAACCCAACCAAACAAAAAGGATGAGTCAGATTCAGTGTGACTGGGGAATCAGTGCATGAGGTGGTAATTCCATACAGTATTTCCACATTTTGATGTCATATATCCATAACACTGAAAATTTTGTCATTTGGATTCAAGGGAGGAAATTTTAACTCTGTAATTTACTATGCAGTGCTTCCTGTTCTTGACACGCACTGAATTGTGTTCCAATTCAGGCAAAAATGTTATTTCACTCTTAACTCCTGTGTTTAAAATTACACTAGGCAGATGGATGAATATATGCATTTTAAACAGATGTATCTGCCTAGGGAGTATTCCCTGCACAAATATTAGCACTTCAGAACCTCATGTGGATTCAGGGCAATTTAATTTTCACAAAAAATATTAGTACCCTGGGATAGATACAGCTCTGTACTCACACTTCATGCTATCTAAATGTATTCTATGCATATTTTATATGACCTTTGTAAAGGTTGGAAAACACATTCTCCATAGTGATGCAAGAATAACTGTTGGAGAGACCACACCTTAGCTCTTGGGTACTTGACATATAATTTCTAACTGATCTTGACTCAATGAGCTTTGCAGTGCAATTTAGGGAATCAAGAGGGTTTAGCACCCTCTACTTAGGGAAGTAGATAGTTGCCAGAATAATCCTCAGTCTTAGCATTATCTGGCATGAAAGGAGAGTCAGGACCTATGTGATTTGCCATCGTGTCCAACTTTCTTCAGAGTGGGTATTAAAAAAATGTGCTGTGTAGCTCTTACCCACTAACTCTATCACTTCTAGTATCATATTTGAAAGCATTCGACTGAGTAGTAGGTTATCTAAGATGGTTTGATTTCTCAGCTTGAGTGTCAGGTTAGAGATCATAGCAAGGATTTGTAAATTACTTTAAAAGCAGTGACCTCCAGAAAATGGGTAGAGATCTTAAACAGCAGAAAGTGCTTGGCTTGGGGAATTGTTCATAATAACTGTAAGTACCTTGTTTCTCTTCATGAAACCAAAGGATGTTGTAAGAGTGTGGTCAGTAGTTTGATCAGTAACTTCTTCCTTTTATTCTCCCTGAGAAAATGAATTATCAGTCCATCACTAACTTTTGTCAATTGGTTGCTTTCAGACATTGATCTTCTTGGGCTAAAAAAACCCCACCTTTGTGAATTTCCTGTCTCTTCTAGAGACTTTTAGGATCCTATTCTGTTTTCTCTACCTTGGAGACCACCACAGATAGGAAGATTTCATCACGACATGTATTTTGCTACTCCTTATGGGGAGGGGACTGAAATAAGCACAGCTATATATCCCTTTGAAAAGTTAATCAGGTATCTGCCATCCTTTTGACAAGCTGGTGCATGCCAAAGTATGCCAAGTGCTGTTGTAACACATTAGCACTAAGGTGATCAAGATTCAGTTTCTGGGGACAAACGATGTAACACTGTTTAATTTGCTAATACATAACGCGTTATGAAGCATACTATATACTACATACTATTTACTTTATAAATATCTCCTTAAAGTAAGGATGAAGTACAGAGAAAACCTTACAGTTCCAGTACAGTTAATTCTGCAATGCCCTTTCTTAGAAGAAAATTCCAGGATGCCTCATTTGTTGTTAGCTTATTTCATTATAGCAAGGCACTATACTGAGCTGTGATAAATGTATGAACTAAGTGCATTTCAGTATAGAGACATTATAATATGACTTAGGAAAAAAGCCTATACTGCAGTTTTACCCTGCTTTTGGCTTTTTATCACCCAAGTGTTAAATAATGTGAAACTGGGATAATAAAAAAGATCTTCATTTTTAGGAAGGAAGCTAGTGCAAGGAAATGTCATCAAGTCTGGCAGCTTTCAAACAAGTCCAGGATCAGTTAAGCTTTATATAGATCTGTGAACAGGTATTCACATTTTTTAAAATCCTTCCTAAAAACAAAACAAACCAAAAAAATTTAATAGTATCAAGCCTATTTTTTTTTCCAGACTTTGTCTGTCCAGTCTGTAGTAGGGCACTGAAGGGCTTCATACCCAACTGCAGGTTTCTTGGTTAAATAGCCTAATCTTAGGATTTACCCCTGTGTCTTTGTTAATTAATTGTATGATGAAGTTTGCATTTTACTGCTTTATTTTGTGAAATGTGTGTCTGAAGAGTTCCCTCCAGGAGGAGCTGTTAGCCCTGTATGTTTGGAGAGAGAGATTTCAGTTTAACAGCGCTTTCATCAAGTTGTGCTTTAGACATTACAGTACAGACACTATCATTTTTTGTAATATGACACTGTCCAGAGTATATGCATAAGCTGAAAAATAGGTGTCTGATGTGCCTCTCACAGGTGCTGCATATTCCAAAATTGGCATCCTATTATGCAATTTACCTCAAACGCTCTTACATATGCTTTCTTTTCCCACAGTTGGGATACATGACCTCTTAGAAGACAAACCAGAATCTCATCCCTCTTATGGCAGTTACTAAGAAAATACAGATTTATTCTTCTGAGAGGAAACTAAATGTATGCATGCAGAATATCATTGTATCTCATCACTGGGAATTTCTGAGTCACCTCCATTAAATTCATTACTAAATGAGCTACACACAGGCAGGATTTAATTGTGTGTGTTTCAGAAAGCACTCTGATTATCTAATAATTAAAACTAAGAGAAATCACAATAAATAAAAAAAAATCAAAAATATTGTTTGATGGACATATTGTAAAATACGTGACTAATGGAAAAGTTCAGGAAAAAATACTGAATTGAACCAAATAAAAAGTATTTTGATTAAAACCCAAAGTATTTTCTTTCCTATTAAAGTAGTTAGTATGTTTATGAGAAGAAAGCAGAATTCTGATTTTTTTTTAAGATTCGTTCTGAAATGTAAAAATTAAATATCATGGTGGTTTTTTTTTTTCAAAATTGTTACTTCATTCAGAGTAAGTTCTTTCATAAAATTTGAGGAAATTTTATTCCACCCTGGGAATCACTACAGAAGGAGAAATTTCTGTAAGCATCACGTGTACTTTTCTTTCACATCTTCATCAGTGTTCAAGATCAGGTTGGACAAAGCCTTGAGTGAGATGGTTTAGTGTGAGGTGTCCCTGCCCATGGCGGGGGGGTGGAACTAAATGATCTTAAGGTCCTTTCCAACCCTAACTATTCTATGATTCTATGATCTTGAAGTATGTGGCAGAAGGGCAAGATGGCTTAAGGAAAAAGGTTACATACAGAAAAAGACTAACCAGACTGGCATCCTCCAGCTATGTCCTTTTGATCATCCTCTAAAGGTCATTTCCAATTCACTCAAGTTAATGCAGCCTGCCACTAAGCTGTGATAAAACTGCAGTAAAAATCAGCACCACTTTCTGATAGTCTTTCATCAACTTCTTGCACTGTGTGACAACAGCAAAGAGCTCTATACACTTTCCTTGTGGTCGACATAACCTGTTTTGTAATATCAATCATTAACAGAATTTGTATTTGTGTAAAGAGTCATCTGTTTTCCTCCTTTCCCTTTTCAGAGCTGATTTTGATGATTCTGCTACCTATTCAGCAGTTGCAACAAATATCCACGGGCAGGCATCAACTAATTGTGCTGTGGTTGTACGAAGTAAGTCCTACTTCATGATTAAAACAAGACATAAATACAATGCTTATGTCATTAAATGTTTATTGTATGTTTATCTTATAGGGTACAGAGAAGGTGAAGAGCCTCACCCAGCTGGGATAATGCCCTTCCACTGTAAGCATTGTTTTGGTTTTGCTTAGGTAGTTTATGTACTCTTATCAGATTAATGTTTTACAGATGAAAGAATTGGCTTTTTCTGGCTTTTCTTTCTAAGCATTCAGTTACAGTAGGAGCTGTCCAGATGCTTTTGCTTATCGAGCTGTATTTCTAGATCAGCATTCAGTATAATAGAGAGCTCCATCTCCTGTTCAGATTGGATAGTAATCTGTTTGTGCCAAGTACAATTATATTCAAGAATGTTTTCCTTTTGTCATGTATAGTACCCCTGTCGTATGATGTTTGCTTCACCCACATTGATGTCCAGTTTCTGGAGAAGTTTGGAGTCACTTTTGCAACTGAAGGTGAAACACTGACCCTGAAGTGTTCGATGTTGATCACCCCAGACCTGAAAAGACTACAACCTCGTGCTGAGTGGTACAGAGATGGTAAGTTAGTACACTGGGTAGAAGCTACCTGGAAAATGCTGGGGGAAACACTGAGGGCAGAGATCAGGCTTAGAACATGAGATTTTCATAATTATATTTGGAATAGAGCAAACAAATATCTCTGGTTAGAATTTATAGACCCACATTCTTTCAGTTAAATCACTTGGTCAACCTTTTCTTGAGTCCACATTTACAGCAACAGGGACAATCTCATATTATCTAATAACACAGTGGTTAAACATTTACTGACCAGGTGGAGATCCAAACTCACTTCCTAGATTTGACCATGATTTATAGTTGAGTGCTGTGACCACTGAGCTGAAGGGCACTCACAGAGCAGTAAAGTTTGAAGCACTGAGGTGTGTTCACAGGCCTTTACTTGCATCTTATTCCACTGTTTATTGTGAAGTTTATATTAAAATCAATTTAATGCATAGTTAAGAAATACTTATAGAAACTAGGCCTGAAACACGTGCCTTTGCTCTTCTGTTTAAATGCCATGTTTGTAGGTTTTCCTTGCTTCTTTTGTCAATGAAAAGTAACGCCATGATAACGCCATGAAGCAGTCTTAACAGGAAGGACTGAAAACTGACGCATATCAAATACTCTGGTGGATGGTATTCAAACCCTGCACAGGCAGTGTTTGTTCACCGTACAAAAAAAAAAAGGTCTTGAAAGGTAAAATTAACTACTTAAATTTAATGTATACAGGCTCATAATGGATATTTAGCTTACCACTTTTAACCACTACAATCTCTGTGTAGGATTCTAAAGTAAATATTTTGCCTGAGGATTTAAGGAAAGCCTTGGTTATTCATAAATGGTGAGACCTTTCCCCAAAAGGACCACATTTGAGAATGGTGGACTCCCAAGACTGATGCTTGGGCTGATTCTAGGCAAAGAGGCAGAAACTTCCATAGCTGAAAAAATGTAATGCATGAAATAAATGACTGTAAGATTAATAAGACAGTCAAAAGAATTCAAGGTTACTAAAAACAGAAAAGGATGCTTTTATTGGTGCTAGTTATGCTTTTTATTTCATATACATAGAAGTTTTAGTTGGATTCACATTTGATCCTTCAGGGAGCGACTGCTACTCAGTGCTCAGTGTTTTATTCCTATTAGTCTATCACTGTGGATACTTCATTGTGATGGAATTATTGGATGTTACTAAAAAAAGATGAGCTGGTCAGAATGGCTTTTTTTATTGCTTGGTGGATAACATGAAATCTAAGGCTCATCCATGAACCCAGATTCTGTTGCCACTGAAAAGTACAGGGATTTGTAATCGCCATTAACACTCACCTCACTCTGAGGTGAGCCATTGGGACCTTTACTTTGTCTCTTACTGTGCCCAGTTTCTCAAGGTGCCAAACCTCTGAGAGTTTGGGTTTGGACCTGCAGCTACAACAAACTGCTAATTTTCAAGGGCTATCCCATATTGTTCCATTCATTCATGAATTTTTCTTGCACTGTGGATAGGTGAACAAAAGCTTACAGCCCTTTCAGTTTAAGCTTTCCTAATGCCAAGGCATTTCTCTTGACATGTAACAGTATCATGTTCCTTGTTTTCTGCCTTATTTGACTTAAGTTTACCTTACATTTCACACACCTTCTTACCTTTCACACACCTTCTTACCTTTCACACACCTTCTGTATGAAAACCAGAGATGAAAACTTAGTCTCTTTGAAGCCAGTAGGTTTTTGTTACTGAGTCAGCCAGGCTTTCATCCTGTTATTTTACTTATATTTACATGAAAAAACACAAATAAGCTTAGGATTGTCTTTTGTTGCTTATACATGTATTGCAATATATTCAAGAGGTATATAGGTGCATCAGTTGACAAACTTGTTCCTAAACACAGCAGGAATTCATGCACTATGAACCTTTGCTATGTGCTGCACATTTCCCTATGTTAACTCTCATGAAAGCTGGAGGCAATGAAGAAGTTTAAACAATGAGAAGGTTAATAATTTGTTCAAAAGCATGTGGTTTATATATTTTTTTAAAGGGAATGCTTAATTCTCCCTTGCATTAAGACAAACTGCATTTTTCCTAAAGTTTTTCAGTTTGTGTTAATAAAAAAATAATAGCTGAAGCCCTGAGATAGATATGTATGATTTACTTCCCATAATTGTACACAAGAGAAATATGTATTCATTCAGCATCAATAATCTTCACACAAGTGAGCCTCATTGAGGTTATCTACTAGACTCCTATGTGAATATAAGTCAACTGAATCAAATCCTCTAAAGTGGTTTGGGATTTTATAAACACGAATATGACGTCTATAATTCATAGCCCGCTTAGAACAATTTAAGATACTGAAAGAACTAAATCAAAATAATACTTGAGAAATGTATATCTAATCTAGATATGAGCTCAGCTAGTAACAGGAGCTTTCTGTTATTGATCTCTAATGTAATATAAACATTCTATCGCTATATGCACCAGTATTCTGCAACCATTAATACTGTAAGCTAGAATAAAATAACTGTATTCAGAGGGAAAAATGGAGTGCTGAATTTAGCTGAAACTTCAGCAGACATGATGAAAAGAAGCTTCAGTATCAAGTAATGCCCTGATTTTTATATGAATTTTCAGCAGAGTGATGTTTTAGGAAAATTATCTCATGTATTTAAAACAACATGTAAAGCTAGAGTCACACTGCCTCCAAATTAGTCTTCTAGAGGTTTGTTCTTTGATAAATTCTAGGAGAAATGACATAGCCCAACAAGTAAATAGACTGGGAAATTGAGAGCAATAGTGAGACCCTGTAATTGTAATATTGTTGTGATGGCAGGTGCATGAATACTTGCTTTATTAGAACTTCTGAATATGTTTGTGTCCTCCAAAATTTACTCTTCTTCTTGGCTTGTCTAGAAAGACATCCAGACTGCATTAAAAAAGAGAGCTCCTGGTTTCTTAGGGGATCTGGTGGGTCTTTGGCCTTGTGTGAAGGAGAGTTTTTCTGTTCTTACCGAACATGACTGCTTCTGCAGTTTCTAGTCTCAGGTACACATAAAGGGTAGAATTGGATGATTCTGGCCTTAACAGACAATACGAGCTTGTCTACAGTTTCTGTATGTTCAAACTAGAGTGTCTACCATTCCTCTCAAGCTTTTCAGGTGCTGTTCACTGAACTTCATTTTTTCTTCAGGATTTTGCACAGAACTCATGCGTTGAAGTTTCTAGATTAAGATGTTTACTGATTTAATTTAAAGTAATTCATGAGCCTACACGTCTTTCAGTACCACTGTGACATGCATGACAGAAAGGGGACAAGCAGATTTTCTAGGTAGGGATTTCATTACTAAGGATCTCGTGGGAAGGAGTGTGACGGAATTTACTTTTTTCACTTCTCAGAAAACAGCTGTATGCTTAGGTGACTGTGGAATTTACTGCTGTAATTTTTAGTAGCGTGTGTCTTCCAGATGCTTTATTATCTGAATGCGTGTAATTTTTTTATACCTTCTTATGCAATTCAGCTGGAAAGTGGGAAAACTGATTCCTTTGCAGTTGTTTGAATGTCTGCTCCAAAGTGTATTTAAGCAATAAAATAATAAACATTTATAGATATTCAGCTTCTTTAAATACAGTTCTGCTGCACTGATTACAATAAATTAGTATGAAATAGGTCTTAGGAGTTAAAAATCAAAAATAATCCAATCAGTTATTAAAAAAGGTGGTATGAGAAAGTCCCTTGGCTAGCATAAAATATCCTGCTCATTCATTTGCTCTGGTTCCACTAAGCAATCAGATTAATTTGCATTAATCATGGGTCACCACCTCTCACCTGTGAGAGATTCAAATTTAATTTTACTCACTGCTCAACAAGCATGCCTTGAAGGTTTAGATTTGGTGCATATTTATAGCAGTCTTCAGATTAAACTAAGATCTGGTGTTCCAATTTGGAGGAAGAAATTGAATAATCTGACTTTTGACCTGAACAGATAGCAAAACTTACTTAAACATGAAACAAAGTTCTACCCTGCATTCATTACAGGGTATGTCAGACTTTTATGTCCATTGTTTTGAAATGTGGGCAACATCCTTCTCTGCCAGTGTATTAAAAAATTATGATGATGGAAATTCTGTTGTTGGCACTTCATAGGGTAGTCTGAGGCCTCATGTTCTCTGAAATTCAATGATGAAATAAGTTTAGAGAGATGCATCTTAATTTCTGTAGAGTTTTCAGAACATCGAAGCACCATCACTCTGCATAAAGGCAGCATAAAGATTAGTTTGTGCAGGTGATTAGCATAGGGCTACACTAGGACACAGATTGTTCTGGCCAGCATACTAATATGTCTGATGGCTTTTCTCTTCCAGATGTGTTGATAAAGGACTCCAAGTGGACAAAGCTGTATTTTGGAGAAGGCCAGGCAGCTCTTTCTTTTACCCATCTGAACAAAGATGACGAAGGTTTATACACCCTGCGCATGGTAACAAGAGGTGGTGTGAGTGAATACAGTGCATACCTGTTTGTCAGAGGTAAGTTTTTCACCTGTTTCTTGAGGAGAACTTAAAAAAACAAAACAAAACAAAAAAACAAAAAAAAACCAAAAAAAGCAGTGAAAAGGTTAGTTTTATTAAAAAAACCAACATGTAATGGCTGAAGTACAAAAGAAATCCAGCCTTCTGGTATTTTGTAGTCATTTGATTTATATATAATAGTCTGTGTTATTAAAATAAATCATAAATAGGGGGCTTCAAGAAGAGTACACTTCTGAGGACATGTTCTTTCCTGAAGAACCATAGAAATCTTTCTTTTGATGAAACAGCTTGTTTCTTTCTTTGACATCTCCTTTCCCTGCAGGAAATAAACAACTTTGCATACTACCAGTCCTCACTGTGATGGTTTTAGCTCTAGAGATTGCCAACTAGGAATAAGCCTTTTTGGGCACTCTCATATCCTGTGCCTGGCCTTAGGAGGAGGCACAGAAGAAATCAAAAGAAATATTCCTACCACTCTACCACTCACAGTCAGCACAATAATCAGAGAAAAGAACTAAAATAAGAAATTAACTCACTGAAGAATTAGTTTTCACAAGGGACTTAGTGAAGAGGAGGTGAATGCATTAAAATAGAATAAAGGTCAGAATTTTCCTTCACATTTGCATGCACAGCTCTCTGAATTGAGAACGAGCTTCCACATGCATCTAAAAGCAGAACCCAGTCTTCACTTATTTTTTTCAGTGAAAGACTGAAATATCTCTTGTTGAGCAGTTCTTTCACTCTCTTAAATACATCTTCCTTGATGCTGGCAAACTGAAGCAGCTCTACTGAAGCCGTTGGAGCTGTATTAATTTTAAACTTTGTTCTTGGAAATGTATTGGAACATACGTGTCTTGCAGAACTGTCATGCAGACAATTGGTATGAAGTGAAGGGACATGAATATGTTATCAGGGAGTTGAGATCCATATTCCTCACAGGACTTCATGAGGGCTTCATCAGCTTAGCAGTATGCCCTGAACAAGCCACTCTGCCACCCTAATTTCACTGTAAACAATTTGCTGAAGTTCTCTATTTCCCAGTTACCTTCTAAGAAAGAAAGTGCTCAGGTGAAGAAGACCCACTAATATATAATAACTTTCCTATGAGTTTTTGTTGTAGTGATGGGTCTATTTTAGGTACATGTGTTTGTCCATTTTATATTATGACATCCCTTTGCATGCACAGGACCTTAGACTTGAGCTATGTCCTCTGGAATCTCTAGTGCCCTCTGTTGGCCTTCCTCTTGCCTTTATTCATGTAGCCTCTGATGTGATATCGAGCACCGGCCACCTCAGAACTGATCGTAATTAGGCTGTATAATTTTAGAGTTCTTAAAAGTATTTTTGTGTTACCTTTATTTGAAGGGAGAGAACTTTACCTGTTAGTAGACTTCATTAGGAGTTGTAGATTCACATCAGTCAACACATCTCAAAATGAAGCCAGAGAAGGGTATCTTAATGGTTGAACATAGATTATTTATGCCTGTTGGTATTGTAAGACTTTAAATAATAAGCAAACTTAGAAACATGCCAAGAGTTTGCAAAGACTTTATTCCTTAAGAGAATTATTTTCTTCAGCTACATGTTTTTTACTGAGTACCTTGGGCTGATCAGCATCCCACTGAGCCACAGTTTTCAGTAGGAAAGAGCATCAAAACCACATGGGCTTTTAATTCTTGTGAAAAGTAATAGGTGTTTTATGCCTAAGCTGCTTCTCTGTCCTCAAAAATATCTCAAGATCTTTATCTATGTGGAGATGTAGACATGATGGACCTTATTCATTAGTGCAGTGAACTAGTGTGTAGTGAAATCCTTGGGCTCCCATTCATATAAACAAATAGTACAGTGAACTGGAAATCTTCCCTTTCGTCAAGGGAGGGTCAAATCTGATTTATTTTTATTTGTGATTCAGATGCTGATGCATTGATCGCAGGAGCACCAGGGGCACCGATGGATGTTAAATGCCATGATGCTAACAGAGACTATGTTATTGTTACCTGGAAACCACCAAATACAATCAATGAGAGCCCAGTCATTGGGTATTTTGTTGACAAGTAAGTAAACACTGGGGTTTATTTAATTTTGTTCATTGCCAAAACCATATAATCACTGAAGAACAAAAGAGTGACCATTATATCATTCAGTATGTGGATTCTTTAGATATATTTTTACAAACCATTGGCACTGGAACTCAGCTGCTTACTGGGTTAAATTACTAGATTGTTCCTTGGCAAACTTGTAGCCCAGATGTTCTAGCACTTTCCCAGGTACAGTCTGTGAGTTAGCAAGAGATGGGGGCCATTCCCAGTAATCAGGTGCAGGCAGACACCTTTTATCAGACACTAAAAATGTTCAATAGTATGGATGTGGCCAAATCAGAGAATAAGCCCTGACTGGTTTATAGAAGCCAGAATCCATGAGCGTCTTCAATTACATTCAATCTCCTTAATCTGTACACTGTAAAAGCTGAAATCTAGGAGTTACTACATTACCTTTTTATTTCTGCTTTAACTGTGGTATGCCAGAAGCTCCCAGGAGCTGCTGGTTTAAATCAGAATAGCAGTCTTCTCTCCTTCAGTCTGTTTTGCACTTTGCTGGTGTTTCAGCTGAGGGAAGGCAGCCAGGGAACAGGGGATCAAGCACTGTTTTGCATTTCTCTTCCACTGAAGTGCATGCTTGCCTCTTGTAAGCAGAGCAGAACATCTAATCCTTAGTGTCTGAAACTGTCAGTCAGCAAAAACATTACTGAAATGATCTCACAATGGACACTGCTCTACACTTAAAAGCAACATTTGCAGCTCATTGCTATTTACTACCCTGCAATTTGGTCTAGTTCAGTGACCGCTGTCTGGGAATTGCTAGAAAATGTTGGCTTATGAGTGGCAGTCAGTATGAGGAAATTAACTTAAGTCCTGGGGACACTACCACTTATATCTAATTTATGCAGTGCATAGATCGTGGGAGTATGTCACCTGTTTTATATATAATTTAGTCTGCTGTGCCTTTTGACATTTTGCTTGGATTACTTCAGAGTCAAGGAGACCTTGATCATGACCCTATTTTTCCTGGTACTGCCAGGGCACAGGGCAGTCATCTCCACAAAAGTTTATAGTAGTAGGACGCAAAATACATGTATACGCAAAGGAGCCAATATGAGAACATCACTCTGCTTCTTGATGACTCCTGCAGTCAGTGGCCCAACCATTGTTGGAGGGAAAACCACAATGATTCTTGTTTAAAAGTATGACAAGAAAGAGATGGAAAAGATTGGGTGAATGTTACAACTTCAGCATGTTCTGCGGAGATGCATATTAAAAATAAATGTGAATAACTTAGTTTTTACCTGACAAGGAAGAGAACCAAGTGGAAGGGAAGCAGGGAGTTGAAAAGGCCAAAAAACATGCAAGAGAAATCATAGAATGACCTTTGCGATTGCATTATGAATAAATACTGGCATGGTGGGAATCGGTTGCCTGATCAGAGGAGAGAGTATATAGGAGTGTGACTTTCATTAATAAGGTGTATGGTTTAGTTCCTCTCTTTAGTGACTATGACTTGTGTGATTTTGTGTAGAATGATATATATTTATTGTGGAATGATACTGATAAATGTTGCCTTCTGTTATTCCAAGATGTGAAGTAGGTTTGGAAAACTGGGTTCAGTGCAATGATGCTCCTGTAAAAATCTGCAAGTATCCTGTGACTGGCCTTTATGAAGGACGTTCTTACATATTCCGTGTGAGAGCAGTGAACAGTGCTGGCATTAGCAGGCCTTCTCGAGTGTCTGAACCAGTTGCAGCTCTTGACCCTGTTGACCTGGAGAGAACACAAAGTAGGTTATGCAAGGCTGAAACAGATGTTGAATACTTATTTATTTATTTATTTGCTATGTTTCTCTTTGCTTAGTTAGCTTAAGAAGCAGAGTTTATTTCTTCCTTTCATTGAATATCTCACTACTTTCAAGGTGGGGGATGTGGTTACAAGGGCAAGTTCCATACTGACAGGGCCTGGGGACCTCCATCTAATTATGGCTATTTTTCCTTAGCTTTAAATTTAGATACTCATTATCACAAGGAGAAATGTTTTCAAAAGAAATACCTGGGAGCTTTTATCATTTCCACTGGCAAATGGGCCCTCAGATCCCATAAACTTCTACGTGTGCTGGTAGTAACTTTTGAAAATGCTATTATGTCTTACTTAAAGAAAAACAAAAAAATTTCATATGAATTCATTGGTTCACATGCTGTTGTATTTATCCACATCTTTTTTTCCCAGTGAAGTGCAAGTACTGGCACAAGGCCCCCAGTGTTACAGGGTGCAGGGGTCTCTGAGATTGTGACTTTTCTAGCAGATGGAGAATCAATCTATCTAATGAACAAGCTCTTTCTGAAAGCTGGTTTTGTGCTCAAGGCCACTGCAGACTGCAAAGGAGCCTTGTGAGAGCTTCTTCATGAACAGAGTAAGCTGGCTTGCTCTGGGGAGTAGTTTTATTGATTTAGCTTTGTCCTAAACCCCTGTACATGTTCTGTATATCATGTGCTTGCACACCTTCTGTTTTGTGTGCTTCTTTTACTCAGAGGGGAATTGAACTCTTTGTGAAGACTGCAGAGCACTGCCCCAATGTTGCCTGTAAAATCTGAGATGAATATGCTGTGTTTCCATTAGCTTTTTGATTAATTCCTAAAAAAAGTCTAGTTCATGATACAGTTGTTTACTAATCTGCCGCAGTATTGAATCCATCTACTGTGGTTATGACTGTTGCTTTTAAGTACATCTTTAAATAGTACTTCTCATGCTCTGTTTTTCTGTGAAAGTGAATGAACCAGTGTATGACATTGAGTTGAAACCATCTGGGGAAAGATTTAGTAACAGGGTTATAGAAACAGAGGTATATGGGCTTTTGAACAGGTTCTGGACAATAATTTGCAAAATCTGTAAATTTATTAAATTGGTTCAAGAAACTAATTGAATATTTTGATTAACAGCTATTCATGTGGATGAAGGGCGGAAGGTTGTGATCAGTAAGGACGACCTAGAAGGTATGTAGCATTTCAGTGACTTCAGTCCACCTGTTTATATTCCAAGAATGTAGCATTATAATTAGAAATATAGCTTGAAAAAAATCCACATAGTAGGTAAATTCTTTGTAATAATCAATAAAGACAGATATTCTGGTTTGCAAGGCTGAGAAAACACAAGTGAGAGGTGAGGTCTAAAAGTACAGAGAACATCACATACCCAAAAGCATGCTGACAGCAACTCCTCACCTTTTTGCTTTGGCTAGGGCTAAGCTGAGTTTAAACAGCTGAACACTGCATCTGATTGCTCACATTTCCCTTTCTCCTATACTTCTGGGAGCTAAATATAGCTTATTTATACTGAATTTGATGATCTGAGCAGGTTATTTCCATTTTCATGAAAACTTCTGCAATCCATCTGAAGTCTTTAATTAATATCTCTCTGAATAGAGAGGCTGTGCATAAGGTTAAGGTTATACACTAGATATTGGTTTTCCTTAGGAAAAATGAAGAGATCACTGCCAACTTCCGAGATAAATCCGCAATTTCTTCTGTCTTTGGTTGTTTCTATATATAGTGATAATTTTTAAGCTTGGATAATGATCTTCTTTTCACTTAAACTGTCAAAAACCTTAACTATAATGGCTCAGTATTAAAAAAATAAGGCTGTCTACTCTCTTCCGCAAAGGTTATAAAGCTGTATCTCCAAAAATAGTGAACTAAAAGAGAAACTGTGTGAGAACAGATGTAATTTGAAGGAGAATTAGACATTAAATGTATTCCCCAGTGCATGGTCAGGACAGATGAATTTTCTCTCTTTTACAGAGATAGTACCCTAGGTGAAATAATATGGGTATTACAGGATCAGAATCTTATAGTATAAGAATATATTTGTGTTGCTTGTTTGGCATCGCAGAATGTACTCCTGGTCTTGCGATGGCCTGAGAATGATCAGAGGCATTAAATGGCCTCTCTGGCACAGGCATGAATAATATTTGGAATTCAGTTACATGAATGTGCAAATTTAATAAAGGAGTATGGATATGCAAATATCATTGCTTATATAGAACATTACTTTCATCTGCTAGATTGGAGTTTCTGAAAAAGAGATCTTATAGTCCACAGGTGGGTTTACTTTTTTAGTGCTATTCTGGGACAGCAACCTGTGTCATCATGTTTTACCATTGCAAATTATGCCAGCTTTGGGGTTTTCCAGGATGTAAGAAAACATACTGGGATTTAGTTACATGAAATCAATTGAAAACCTTTTGACTTTGCTTCATTGTGCTGTGAAGTATTATTGTAATTTTTTTTGACTGTATATTAGCAATTTTGTCCTAAGCAGCTGATTCATGTGCCTTCCTTAAAGAAAGTGTGTTTATAGGAAAACAAGTACAGAAAGCACTGAGAGAAAATAATTTTTCTTTGGATATGTCAGTTAGTTTTAAAATTTCTGGTTTTGATTGGGAAATGCGTACGAGGAAAGAACTTCAGTGCACATTTTGAGCCCAGTTGGTTCTGCAGATATTTAAGAACTGTTAAAACATCACTTCCATGATTTAAAGATTATTATAGAAATATTTTTGTCTTTTAAAATATCAAATCCTGTGAATTTAGAGGCCATATGCTCCTTGCTACTCTGAGAAGTGGCGAAATGTATCTTAAAAGAACAAAACTTTTTTCTTTCTCTATTGCAAGCCATAAAAAATAAAACATTTCTATGTATTTGCTGAGCTGCTACTTCTGACCCATTTCTGAAAGGAAGCTTCTTCAGAGCTGTGTAGCTATGCCTGAAGTGGTCCATCATAGGTCTGAGCCTCTTTTACCTAGTGCACTGTTGTAATTCCTCAGATAACAAAACTGTCTTTTTCACACACTGGGTGGATGAGTTGAACACCCTGGTCCATGGTACACAGCTCCTGCCCTATGTTTATGATAACCCTGCAGAGTGAGTGGGGAGAAGGCCAAACTAACTAACTGGCGGAGTCAGCAGAAGTGTGGGGCCATATTCTGATTTCTCATGATAGCTCTTTAGACTTCTGTCTTTGATCAAAAAATATCTCTTGTTTGCATATAATGTGTAGTTTCTTTTCCACAACATTCTGCCCAGCAGGTAGAAGTAATTCAAATGTGATCAAAATAAAAAATGTGTCAAATGTACAGGTTTTCAGGGGGCATATATAACTTTTACTGAAAAAGTACATAACTAGCTTTTAAAACTGATGCCTTATTTCTCAAAAATTAATTGAAATGTGCAAGAAAACTGCACAGATGATACCATAGCTCCTAATAGCTGAGCATTGCACCGCAGGGTGTGAGTTCAGAAAGATGAGCTGTAGCATAAGTACTAACCCAGGGATTGATTTGCTGTTTAGCAGTCACTACCTCTGTTACTCTTCCAGGTGATATTCAGATTCCAGGCCCTCCCACCAATGTACATGCCTCAGAAATCAACAAAACATATGTTGTACTCAGCTGGGATCCACCTGTTCCCCGTGGCAGGGAGCCACTGACGTATTTCATTGAAAAGGTACTGTACTGTACAGTGGCATTTGTCTGAAAGGTGTTTCATTGTTGTGTGCAATTGCATTCAATTCATTTTAGATCTGCAGAATGAACAATAAAACTAACACTTTCTGTGGTCTCACAGGATTTGGTAATGGGATGCCAGAGAAATATGGAGAATCAAATGTCTTATTATGTGATTTAATGAGCATTGAAATTCAAGGCCCAGGGGAAAGGACACCCCTGTGCTATTTGCGTACTGGTGTCTAAAATGGGAACAAGCTACACATGTAAGGCAGTGGTTTAATGGAATAACCATTTTAAGATTTTGCAGTCCTACAGGCAAATCGGGAAGTTTGCAGTCTGCCTGTATTAAAGGGAATTTTCTGGTAGTCCTGTGGTAGAGCTAGGAATAAACAGTGACTCATAATTTGATCCTCATTTTCATTTTTTCAGGCTTACAGCACTCTCTGCTATACCCTGACATTTCCAATTTGTTCCCTGTAAGGTCAGCAGCAAGGCAGATGCCTGTCTCAGGTTCACTGCTCCCTGCCAGTCTTAATGGCTGCCTTTCTCTTCCCTTTGACTTGTCAGGGGACTTCAGTCATCACAGTAGGAGAGGTTTGTTCTTCTCCCATTTAAACTACTAAGATTTAGATACATCTGTCCCAGAGCCAGGTTTCTAAATTAAGTATGTTGGATTACAGCCAGAGGTCATAATCTCTTCTCCTTACTGCAAAGTTTCCCCAGTAGGTAAATGGGGCCTCATACCTGACCTCTAAAACTCTTACGTGCCAAGCTATACTTAGTTTTTATGAATTATGCCTCTAGCATATGCCTCTTCTTAATGATGCACTAAAACTGTCCATAAAACTACCACACATTCAATTTGCATCTTCAATATTGTGGCAGCCTTTTCTCAGGCCCTTACCATGCAATTTTTTTTCTTCTCACATCTGTTCAGCACATACCTCCAAAGTTCATTTCACAGCCAACCATTCTGTTCACGTCACTTCTCTTTTTACAGCCCCCATCTTGTCTTTTCCTTCTAAGTAACATCTAAATCTCAATTTCAAAAGACCTTTATATTCCATTTCTGCATTCTGCATCATCCATTACCTGCTGGATGTAGAACCAATGGGTGTAAAGTGAAGTCCAGTCACTAGCTAAATTTTCCAGCAAGCATGTCTGTGCTTTCTCCCACTCTCCTTTTCACATTCAGAAGAAGTAATGAAAGTTTCCATAGGTATAAATAGCTAGGTTTTTCTCTATGCAATAAAATAGTGTCTTCCTTGTACTTATTCCCAGTTGCATACATCTGCTCTTATCTATAAATTTCAAGCATATTGACTTCAGGATTTTCAACCAGCTGTTGGCATGAAAATACCTCATTGTTTCCAGAATATACAGAAATAGCCCCCAGAAAGCTCAGATGTAGATTTCTGCTGAGAATACACCTACGCATGCTTAGTTGAATTTCATATGAACTGGAAAAGATATGTATCTGCTTGTTTTACAGAAATAGCTGTATACAGCTCTAAAACCAGTATAGAGCAATGACAATAATGAACAAACAAGACTTAATTAAATGCCAAACATAGCAGGGGAAAGTGAGAATGAGGACTAGAAAGTTATTATTAGGGGGAAAAAAAAGTATGATGCATTATACTAATTAATACCTGAATCTAAAATCTTTTTGCATATAAATAGCTTATATATATGAATAGCTCAGTTTGTAGATGAATGTTTGGTTTTTTGCTTTCTACAGTTATCTGTTAATTTAGAAAAGCACAATTCTAGAAAAACACAATTTCTAATTAATTTATTTCAAATAAATAAGCCTCAGTCCTGAAGAGCGAAAATGAAACATGAAAATGAAAATGAGTTCTCTCTGCTCTATACACATATTTTTTTAAAGTCATTATTTAACAGATAAATCAAATAAAAGTACAGAATAAAACATAATGTTGGTTCTCTCCTCTGTGAAAATGAAATGAAACAATTAGCATTTTTCATGGCCAAAAGTAGACTATATGTCAAAATAATATTTATTTCATATTTTCCATCTTTTTATTATGAATAAAGTGTATGGCTATTATTTCTGTTATCTATGAAATAGATTTTGATAATGGGCTCCAGCTGTTTGTTTTAATTACATACCTATAGTAGGCCTCTTATATACAGAGTAGTTTCCAAGCACCTATGAAACACTGTTCCTCCATTAAGAATTTCACAGTCTATCAGGTTTTGTTCCTAGGCTCTCTGTTCCAAAATTTTATAAGCATTTACCTTGTACGCACCTTTTTGTGCTTGAAGGAAATTTCATGTATGCTATTTACTGAGCACTTGGGTTTTACTAGAATTGCCTCAATATTCCATGACTAATTTTTGATTTGGGTCAACAGTTTATCTGGAGCCTAGTGGACAGCTGACCTCTTAGAGTACTGGCTTGCTGGCTCTCTTCCATGCACAGTTGTAGTGATGAGTAGCTCAGCTGCTGCACTGAGAATATTCAAAAGTAATCATTACATTTGATCAATATTTTTAGGGACATGACCTTACTAAAAAAAACCCCAAACTACATAAAGATAAATCACTGTGTAAATTAACATCCCCTTCTCTACCTTTCTGTAGAATTTGGATTAGAACTTCTTGCTTTATATCAAACCTTTGGGCATTCGAGTGAGTTTTGCAGGGCATGAAATTCATTCTTTTGGAACCAATCACAGCTGACAGTCATGGCCCTAACTGAAGGCTAGCTGTATGTACAAGTGTGCATATTTTGAGGTCTACACAGGCAGGGAGACAGTGAGGTATTCAGATGTTTTTGTAGGGTAATGGAATGTATAAGCTGTTAGAATTTGCATGTGTTGGAGCGAGACGTTTTGAGTGATCCTTCTCTCATAGTTTTAAATAAATTCATAACAGGATGCAATACAGCAATATGTTCATTTTTTTTTACAGTTCACAGAAGTGACTCACAGGTTTTTTTTTCTTATTTATTTATTTATTTATTTTTTGATAGTCCATGGTTGGCAGTGGAAGCTGGCAAAGAGTCAATGCACAGGTTGCAGTAAAATCCCCTCGCTATGCAGTGTTTGACCTTGCAGAAGGAAAACCATACGTTTTCCGAGTCTTGTCAGCAAACAAGCATGGCATCAGTGATCCATCTGAAATAACAGTACCTATTCAACCAGAAGATACCATTGGTAAGAGATAAATTTTATGGCATCAATATTAAATTCAATTGTTATTTTACAAAATGGAAATAGAAAACTCATTATAATAAAATTAGTATAACTACAATAATAGTAATTGAATCAGTTGTTCAATACTGTGAAGGATTTCAGAAAGACCAAGATGCTAAACTTCAGAAACATTCAAATATTTTCCTGATGACCACAAGTCTCCTTGCTGAGACCAGTAATTGTTAAAAAGTTAAATTATTTTTAGCTATTCATTCTACAGAGTGCTCTATTAATGTGGCTTGTCAAAAAATAAGAAAATACAGGTTAATTGCCAATTTGGGTAATTATACTGTCTGGCTTAGATAATTATATACTACCTAATTCCCTACAGTTTCAGATAGATAAGCTATCCTTTAATTTCTTTCTCAGTATTCTAAGTTGCAAATTACTGCTGGTACAGAATACCCAGGGCATGCAGATTAGTAGATTTCAGGGACAGGAGAAGATAGATCTGCATATTCATTGGTAACTTTCCAAATGAAAATTAAGTGTTTCTCTTGGGGCCACATTCATAAACATAAGTGAAAATTTAGAGAGTGGTTTCTCAGCTCATCGGTCAAATATCTGCTTTGCTTTTACAGTTTTGCAGAGGTCATATGAAACAGCTCCATGTATTGACAACTGTAACCTTAAGATCATATGTATTATATTACTGCACTTGCTAAAAATATAAGAAATATTTACAGTATCTGATATATCATAGTTCTCTTAATGTTGGTAGATATAGCCTTCTAAACATTTGCCATAATTTTTAAAAAATATAATCCATCACCTTTAGCTTGATCTGTAACTATACATGATAAAATAAAGGCATCTTTTGCTTTTATGTACCCTTGATTTGATGTCTCATTAATGCATATAAAGTATTTAAACCATTCAACATTCCCCAAGGTAGAGAAGAAAAATACTGTATTTATTTCACTTAGTACAGAAAATAGGCTCTTCCTTAGGGATTAACACAAGACAACCTGAATAAATCATAGCTATAACTTAAAGCAGAAAGCAGAAGATGATATTTTAAAGAGAAAATGCAGTTTTTCAGAGATGGAGTTTACCACTTGAGCTAAAATATATCAGAAGCACATAGCTCCTTTTAGTAGCCTGCACATAGCACCATTTGACATTCCTGAGGGTAGCTAAAGGTAGGTACCTCAACATTTGGCATTCCTGAGGGTAACCTCATATTGAGGGCAATCATTACACTAGAATTATGGGTAGTTTTCTCTCTTGAGCAGAAAGAAGGATGGGGTATTCTAAATCATACAAAATGATGCAATATTACGCAACTGAATTGAGTGGTAAAAGAGTATTCAGTTTGAAAGCAACTCTACGTTTAGGTGTTTCCATGTAGGCACCAACAGGAAATGTCTCTTCTTTCACTGTGGCAATTGGAGTCTGGAGGATAAGGTGACTAGAGATGCCATAAGCTGCCCTGTGGCACCTAGCTATGGAATGTCTACGTTGGGGTGAGATGAATAATTTTCAGGACTCCACCAACCACTGGTCAGATGTTTGGTTTAATTGACCAAACAGACATCTAGTACCTTTTCAGATCATTTCAGTTTGCTGTTTCAGAGGAGTGTACGTATTCAGTCTTATGTGTCAGCTCCATGGAGAAGTCTAAGTTGTTCTAAAATGGCCCTAAATGGATCTGTTTGGGTAATTGAAATAAACGCTAGCTCTTTGACTATAATGGCAGCTTAAGAACATGTGGAACATATATGTGCAGGCACACATAAAGCCCTAAATGGAGATAACTTTACCTCAAATCCTTCTGACCTTACAGATTTATTTCATAAAGTACAATGGTGTATAAGTACTATATTTTATTTTGAGATTGAAAGAGTAAATAAAAAAAAAAAAAGAAGCTTCCTTTCTTTTGTTATGTGTTTCTTGTAGTTCTCCACAATATATCATCTAAGGAAACTAAAACCACCTTCAATAGGCAAGTGCTGGACGTCTCTTAACCTGCCAGGAAAACTGAGACACTGCCTTAGTTCCTTATGGACAGATATTTTATAGTGTAGAGACTGTGTGTTGCCCCTAAGTAAGATTTTTTTTCCATTTAGATCTTGATGGTTTTGGTTCTATTTGTGCACATTCAGAGTGTTTAGTTCCACATAAACTAGCAATAAACTTTCATTGCATGTAAGTGAGCTGCCTACTGTTGGGAGAACTGTAGTCCACAGATTGAAGGAAGCTTTATCCACTTCTGCTTGGTGCTACTGAGGTTGGTTCTGGAATATTGGTTCCATTTCTGGCTTCCTTAGTCTAGAGGGATGGGTGTACAGGACCTCGAGAGGTCCACTGGATCACAACCAAGACAACCAGAGACTAGAGGTTGTGAGATGTGGAGAGAGGTGGAGGTAACCAGGCTTGTTTCCTTTGGTGAGTTACAAAGATGATTGTGCTGAACTGTTCTGAGAAATGCCAAATGAGAGGAAAAAAACAACAAACCAGCCATAAAATGTAGCTTACTAAATTCAGGTTGGACTCTTTTGGTGAAAAAGGTGCAAAAGTGAAAGCAGGTGTGAAATCTCTGCTGTCAGAAGTTTTCAAGACTTGGACAAACTCATGACTGACAATCCAGTTTAGTGTTAGAATCTCACTTTCAGTGATAGGTTAGACTAGATGGTCCCCAGAGATCCCTTCTAACTAGTGTTCTTATGATTCTGTGCAATCCATCTAGCTAAGATTAGTTAAACACTTAGCATTCAAACATGTGCTTAAAGCTGTCTTTAAAAGTTGTTCTTTTCTGAATTCGGGTTGTTATTTGAGTAGAAGGCACTATTTCTTAATGCTCTTTATATAATACCTCTACAGTTTATGTGCATTTCTTACTGATGAAGTTGTGCTCCAGGGGTATAAACTATACACAAATCTTTTATTTGAGAGAGAATATTAGAGAGGGGACTTCTGAGAGCAAACATTTTCATACCTATATGCCTTTATCCATGCTGATATTTGAAAACATGTTCTTCAAGGCCAGATTGGACAGAGCCTTGGGTGACATGGTTTAATGGGAGGTGTCCCTGCCCATGGCAGGGGGGTTGGAGCTAGATGATCTTAAGGTCCTTTCCAACCCTAACTATTCTATGATTCTATAACTCCCTCCTCAGAAACCTGTATAAAATCAGAGAAGTAGCTTACTCGTAGCTTAGAGTAGGTTTACTCTAAGAAAACAAATAGAAAAATAAATATATTTGTACACACATATATAGAGGTATCCAGACTTACAGTGAAAAAAAATACTAAAAGATATATCTCATATAGCCATATTAACATGGTAGGAGAAGTCATGTCTGTAGTGATGAAATATGATGAAGGTATACACTGTTTCATTTGCCTCAGCTTCCATTTATTTTTATGTATTTCATAATAGTACATGTTTTCTCTCTTTTTCTTAGTTGCTCCATCTACACCTGGTCAGGTAGTGGCTACAAGAAACACAAAAACATCAGTTGTGGTTCAATGGGATAAACCAAAGCATGAAGAGGATTTATATGGCTACTATATTGACTACTCTGTGGTGGGATCAAATCACTGGGAACCTAGTAACCATAAACCTATTAAATATAATAGGTATTGACAATAATTCTATATTTTGGGGAGGTTTGAAAACTGCAGGATTGTTTTAAGCCAGTTTGCATGCTAAACAATGATGTTATCATGCAAGATGAATGTTGAATGAATGTGAAGAAAAACACTCTGCAGAACCTCAGAGCTAAGCATTTCAGTTTGCAGGGCAGACTTTCCCTCCCCCTTCCCCCCCTCCTTTTTTTTTTTTTTCTCCAAAGAGAAGCATCTTTTGTCTATTGCATGACTCTGAATTACAAAAGCAGGTTATATAGTCATGATTCCATATTGACATAAGTAAGCATAAAATAAATGCCTTTCTTAAAATCTAAAATATATTATGGGGTAAACAGGCCTGATGCACATGAGGAAGAGTGTGAGAAAGAGAGGGAACTCAGGAGCTTTCTTATAGCCCATGAACATCAGGGCAAAGGGGCAGGCCATGTCTGCTATAAACATGGTGGGGAAAGTGCTGCGGCTGCGGATACTACTGTGCAGGAAACCCAAATGTCCCATCCCAGAAACATTAGGGGTCCCTGACCTGCTACATCTATGGGTAAAAGCCAATACCCCTTGTTTCTAGTTCCCTTTTCATGATGCCAGCCCTGTCTGTATTGCTGATGGTTTCTTACTCCCTCGTGAAAACATCACACTTCATATGTCATTCTTCAATTAATTTCCTTTGTGACAATCATTCTTACTTTTGTGGAATCACTCACCAAATGCAAAGTCTAGATGTGCAATTTATGTTTTCTTATGGGTATATAACAAGCACATTATGTTTAGTGTATTTTGTCAGTTATTAATTGAGTGACTTTGTATTCTGCTGAATCCTTTGATCAAGTAGTCAAGAATTTGATGAAAGAAAAAATAGAGAGTAATTCTTAATAAAAGAGACTGGGAGAACACGAAGATAATAATAATAATAATAATAATAATAAAGAAAACGCAAACCAAAACAAAATGTTTGCTTTATGTGAACATATCCTGCAATAGGATAGTTCTATCTGCTACAATAATTACCTAGAACCTCAGATCAAAACTGTAACCTGTTTTTGATAGTGACTATGAAAACACAGTGAAAAATATAGTCCCCTCCAAGAATGGATTAGAATTCAGTGCGCCAAATTTCAGAGGGAACATACTATAGTTTATCTGACTCTAGGTGGTAGATCAGTGATTGCAACTTAAGTACTGTGACTTTTGTTCCAGCATCCCGTCTAACTGCATTGTACTACATTGTATCATTGTATTAAAGTTTCCCTTTTGGAAATATTTTCCTTTGTTAAACACTCATGACGCTGAGCTTTCTGATTGTTGCCGAGATTTCATGTTACAGTACAGAATGGTACCTGTAAAACACTAATACCTTTCTTTTTAAACTCAGGTTTGTTGTTCATGGTTTGGAAACTGGACAGCAGTACATCTTTCGTGTGAAAGCTGTGAATGCTGTAGGATTCAGTGAAAATTCACAGGAGTCAGAGGCTATAACAGTACAGGCAGCCCTTAGTAAGTATGAATCTCTGCAACTCAGCTTCTTTTTCTTGAGTCATAGAATCATAGAATGATTCAGGTTGGAAGAATGAGTAACATTTTCAGCAATCAACTCCTTTGGTCTCATTTGTGTAACAGTACATTTTGCAGCCAATGAGTACATCCCCTTAGTGACATTTGTGCTCTGGGATGTGTTCTGGGATGTGTTCTAGAGAAAAAAAAAATTGTTTTAAAACCCAAAGATGTTATGCATAATGTCTGTTGCAAATATTGGGTCAGACTCACTGTGATGACCAAGTTGCTTTCTGCTCCTCAGCTGTCACAAAGAAATGGTAAGTCTTGGTTAAGTTAGACAAGTAGCTTCTGGCTAAATTGGAGTGGTGTAGATCGGTTCATCACAGAATTTGCTTCATTTAGAAGACTTTCAGGAAATTTTATTGCTGTGTGGCTGAAACAAAAAGAAAATTCCCTTTGGCTGCTCCAGGTTGGAGCAATCTACCTCCTCTGGTACCCTGCAAACAAAATTTCACTGTAAGAATAATCCATTGTGCAACCTTCAGTGGATATGATGCATGCTGACTGAAAGGATGGATAATAAAACAAAAAGTACACAGATCTGGGCTACTCTGCCCCATTTTTAATTTCTGCACAGTTTCAGTATCATATTGAAAATTTTTAAGTAAAACAACTTTTCCCCACCTGAGTGGCCTCTTTTTCTTGGAGAAGACCAATAGGCATACTTGTCAGAAATAGTTTTCTAACAGGTTTATAATTCAGAATGGCTATTATAACATAAATTTGGATGAGATGTTACTAACAGTCAAACTATTTGATTTTTTTTAGGGCAAAGTGTATCTCATATGGGTAGGTGGTGCACGGACACTTGCACATATATCACCCCTATGTCATAAATGCACTTGCACCTTTTATTTTGTCCCTGTGTGTTTTGAAGATGAGGATTGCATGGTGTATGTCACTGAACACAGAGCACATGGATCTTACACACAGCTGTGAGATGTGGATGGCTTTTATCCATTTCAGTAGACTTAACAGGATTTTCACATCCTATTTTGCTATTTAAAGGTGACCTTTATTAGAGGGGACAGAATCTTTCTGTAGTATTATTTAAGGGCATTTATAGTAGTTCGCTGTGGTCACTCTTATTTACCAAGAAGTGGTAATAACTGCAAAAGCCATGCTTTATGGCCGCTCAGTATAATGCCACCTTTTGAAAACAGAACAAAATGACAGTTTTGCTGATTACTATCTGTTTTCATGCTGATCACCAGTACAGCTACAAATTAGGAATTGTATTAAGGGCCTCTGCTACCTTACTCTGTTATGAATGAGGTCAGTCATATTCTCTGAATTTATACTGGTAATTCAACTGAAAATACCCAATGAGCTTTAGTGGCAGGAACTTAGCCTGTACTGACTGCAGCACTACAGTGTTAAGAAAGGGGTAAATTCAGGCAAACTTTCATGCACAGATGGCAAATACAAAACAGTGCTTGGTGGGAAGGGTGTTTGCTAGTAGTAGGGGTGTAAAAAGCTAAGGAAAACAGTTTTATACATCTCTAGGAAGATGCCTGGGTGATATTTCTCCTTATGCTACAGATGGAAGTAAACTCATACAGGTAGACTCATTAAGGAAATGTCTTTTTTGCCTCAGCAAAGGTTAAGCTAGTGATCATCTAAATATTTTCTATTCATTATACGGCAAAAAGCACTCTCAGTGTGAAGCAGGCATATAATATGGGAATGGGGGGGAAACCATGAAGGCCATAGATAAGACAGTCATATAACTTAATTTCATTGAAGTTCCTAGGCACTTTTTTTTATCATTGTGTGGGTCTTATCATGTTCCAAAAGTATTTGTGTTTACTGGTTTCTTAGTAGAAAAAGATCTTCATATCCCTTTCAATCTCCTACCATAATACCTGCTCTGAAAACATTTTTGCTTGCATTACCATTTCTATACCAGGGATTATCTCTTCCTTCTTGCTGTCTACTGAAAGGGACGGGCATTAAACAGATGTTCCAAAAGCTTCCACATTTATGTTTGGAAATAAAAATTAATTTTGATTAGCAGCTATACAACTACTTTGTTACCAATATGCAACTGATAGCAGTACAGTGCAGAAAATAGAAAGAATACAAAAAGTGCTAAACCACTTATACAGTGCCATGTTTTAGGCTCTGTCCTAACTCTCAGATTATTTATTTCTTTATAGCTTGTCCATCATACCCTCATGGTATCACACTTCTGAATTGCGATGGTCATTCAATGACCCTTGGCTGGAAAGCACCAAGGTACAGTGGAGGTTCACCAATCCTTGGTTATTATATGGATAAACGGGAAGCTAATCATCAAAACTGGCACGAAGTCAATTCTTCCCTTATTATCCAGACGATTTACACGGTTGGTACTTTTTAATACTTGCATTTCTGGAGCTGATTTGTATTATTTATTTGCTTTTGGCAGAGTTTTACTTTCTTGCAGAGAAATTCCTTAAATACTACAGTAAAACCAAGCCCTTCATTATGTATTTTGGAGGGCAACATGCCTATAAACTGTAGGGAACTAATGGCTTCCTTTGCTAAGACATTCTGAGACCAATTCAGAGAGGTTATGTTTGTAGAAAAAGGTCTGAAGCACATTTTTCACAAAGAACAAGATGAGCTATAAAATGCTTCATTAACTATATTCATTAATGAGCACTATATGTATTACTGTAATAGCATGCAGACAAAAGATGGAAGAATTTTCAGAACAGATGAACACACTCTCTGTAGAACTGAAGACTTGTAAGTGAAATGCAGATGGGCTGTGAACAAATGTAACTGTTCCTGTTCTTACCCCCAAAATCTGCCTGCAGCTGGAAAGTGAGATATATTAATAAACTTAGCAATATGTTTTCCTGCTTCCTCTCCAGAATGCCAGGGTGATGATTTTAGTTTTAAAATAAATTACTTCTAGTTGGACTTGCAATGTATTCAATATTTCTTAAAATAGCAAAATTTTGATGTGAACTTCCATGAGAAAAGGTTAAGAATATACAATGTAACAACTAATTAATTGTTCTAATACTTTTTAAATGAATCAGATTTTATTCCAAAATGTTTTTTGAAAGTATTTCTTCAAGTCAGCAACTTTCTTGTAAACCTCAAGGCAGAAATGCATTTTTAGCAGATATTTGACACTGAAGTAGAAAATAACACTGCAGATGAGCTCAGGAAGAATGTTTCATGCACAGCCGGCAGTACTCAGGTGTATATATGCTTGTGAGTGAGTTTATAACTGGCATCTCTGACACTGCAGATGGAGCATGGGTATTTAGAAATAAAAAAATACATGGAGGATAGGCATGAAAGGGTACTACAAATCAATACTCTTCAGATCTTTTAATTTTTTAATGCATTTGTAAATGAGTAATGTAAATTAAGGCAAACCATTCATGGTTTAATTAATTGGATATTTAATTTGCATAACTGCCAGTAACTGTATTTGTGCCTGAAGGTGCATCTTCATACATTAGTTTGAATGGCTGAAATCTGAAATACTGATGGGAAATAAAAGTAAGACAGCTTTTAGTAGTACAGAATATTTTATGACATACTGCAAACAGAGAAGGCACTGAGATATACAGTGGAGCACTGGGAAATCACTGAAGGCTTAAACCTCTCTGATTAAATTAGTCTATGGGAACCCAACAAATATTCTTTCCTTTAACAACCTGAGGTTTTAAAATAATTTTTACAGGCTAAACTGTTATTCTTTCTTGTGAATTGCACTCTACAGCCCTATGTCCTCAGGAATTCTGTCTAAATTTTACTAGTGCCTGACTTTTCTTAGCTTACATTGTTTGCTTTGGTCTTGTATTTGATACTACCCCATCACATATTTGTTACCATCCCATTATATGTTCGTTACCATTAAAAAAATCATACTAAATTTCCTTTTTATCTCACATTTTTACATTTTCCCAGTGAATACAATGATAGTTTATTTATTTATGAAAATCTAAAACTGTTCCATATCTCCACTGCATGTTCTACCCTCAGCTGTCTCTTTCTCTTGAGACATGTGACTAGATATAACTTTGGGAAACTTATGCAGAGCACTGAGGTGTAGAAGACTTGTTTAGTTATTTAGACAGTCTGGAAAATGAAGGATGGAAGTGGGTTGCTATCATGTGGTGCTTAGGGTATTAAGAAGCTCATGACTTATAACTTGTATACCTTGACCTCAAAATCTGAGATGATGTGATGGACTTACTAGGTAAGTCTGGGTTCATTTACCAGGGATACTTGCAGAGGTATAGCACGGGTACTGGTCATCCCATTTCCAGTGCTTACTTCCTCCCTTTGTAATGGTAAGTAATATTAAGAGAAAGATGCATACAAGCCAGAAAAAAATACCAAGAGGATCTTTCCCAAGCTTATATTAGACACTGTGTAACTAATTGGGTGCCTTTAGATTCCCTGGTATGTCCACAGTGAACTCTTTAGACCAGAACACCATTTAAACTCTTTCTGAAGTGAATGGCTTAGTAATAGCCACTCATAAGAAATGCAAGAAGATATTTCATGTTAGAACAGTCAATCATAAGTATCTCCTAGTTGTTATTCATTGATTGGGCTCCCTGGACCTTTGCTCTAACCTTTTAAAGCCTCTCATGCCAATATATTGAGTACTGTTATTCTTAGGATGATGTGGCTGAAACATGGAAGTACAATGTAGATCTCTGCATTACTCTGTTTAAGAGTAAAATCTTCAAAATAAATCCTTCCAGTGCTCCAGCACAGCAGTAAGGCCTGATAACGAATTAAGTAATGCTCATTTTTAAGTGTTTAATTTATTAAAATAATAAAATTATGGATTTTGATATATTGAATTGTTTTCTCAAAAAAGGTGGAGGATTTGACAGAAGATGCCTTCTATGAATTCAAAGTTGCTGCTGCAAATGTGGTTGGAATAGGTCAACCTTCAGATCCCAGTGAGCATTTTAAGTGTAAAGCCTGGACTATGCCAGAACCTGGTAAGTCTGTTACTTCCTCATGAAATTCAATTCAATTCACCCTCCTTAAAGCACAGTCAGTGTATTGTTGCAAGTGTATTGTTCCAGGCAAACTCTGCTGGATGTTAATTTCTGCCATATTACTTGTTGAGATTGCTATTGCTTCTGAGATCTCCTTTTAAAAGTTGCTTTCATATCCCCATTTATGACACTGAATGTCCTGGGAAGTTAGTGGTGACCTTTACTTAGCTTGCTGAGTGTTTCCTTCTTTCATTTCCCACATCAGCTCAGAGGAAAAAGTCTTCAGTTTTCAGTCTATGTTTTTATCACTATCATCTCTTCAACTTCATCCTTACAAGCTCCACTTCACACTCACCACCTGTAAAATATATAGGCATCTCTGCACCATAATCATAAAGTCATAGAACGGTTTGGGTTGGAAAACACCTAGTTCCAAACCCCCTGACATGGGCAGGGGCAGCTTCCACTAGACCAGATTGCTCAAAGCCCCAGCCAACATGATCTTTAATGTTTTCAGAGATGGGGCATCCACAGATTCCCTGGGCAACCTGTTCCAGTGATAATTGCAGTCTATTAAGAATATTCCTGGAGTTTCAGACAACATGGGCCTGTTTCTTGACATAGAGGCAAGTATACAGTGTGGCTCACACTTTATAGCTAAAGTCTTCAGTCTCAGCTAGTGTGCCCTGATTCATGAATTTCCCCTAGATTATACTTAGGTGTTACCTGAGATATTATTAGACAGATGTTATAACAAACATGATAACAAACATACAGTAGAAATGACTGTGTTAATACTCAAACCTGTGTTTAGACTGGCTTTAGTCTAGCAGTGTATCACAGTATCACAGTATGTTAGAGATTGGAAGGGACCTCAAAAGATCATCTAGTCCAATCCCCCTGCCAGAGCAGGAACACCTAGATAAGGTTACACAGGAACGTGTCCAGGCGGGTTTTGAATGTCTCCAGAGAAGGAGACTCCACAACCTCCCTGAGCAGCCTGTTCCAGTGTTCTGTCACCCTCACTGAGAAGAAGTTTCTTCTCAAGTTTAAGTGGAACCTCTTGTGTTCCAGTTTGTACCCATTGCCCCTTGTCCTATCATTGTTTGCCACTGAGAAGAGCCTGGCTCCATCCTCATGACTGTTAATTGCAACACTGACTTCATAGAAAATGTTAAATAAGAATTATTGTGAATTCAGGACCCTAAGAAAAAGAAAGTTAAATTTTAGTCTACCTCATGGGCATTTAAATTTGTGTCTAAATGTTAGACATAGAGGGAATTGGTTCCTCTCAGTAATGCTTGAATTCTGTAAATAAACTATGAAAGGGTTTTGAAAAGCCCATGCTGCTTATTTTGTAACAGTCTAGCACCCTCACCCATACTGAGCAACACATTTGCTGAAACTGTTTCTGATGTGTGGTACTGGTTTGCCTAAACAAAGCATGCCACCATACAGCCCATGATGAAAACACAAACACCTATCACTTTAATATATTTTTTCCTCCTTTTCCCCAAAATGCTGTAAAACAAATCAGATTGCTGTGGTGTTAAATCAAATTATACTTATGACATTGAGTTTTGGTATGCAATTAAGGATCCATTCTAATACTTGCATATGTCAGCAGGAGCTGTCTGACACCTGCACACATCTGTTTCACATCTAAATGTACATGCAGTTATTTTCTTGGCAAAGAAAAAAAAGAAAAATCCAACCCCTAAATCTGGTTTTGTAAAACTATTGGAATTTTTAGTGATTTCAAAAAGGCATAATTAGCATAAGGTGGCAGGAAAATGTCAGTTTTCTTCTTTATGTTATATGTAAAAAGTAATTATGCTATATGTAAAAAGCAGTTCTTGCCCGGAACAACAGCTCAGTAAGATCATAAGCTGATTCAAATGGAATAATTTACCAGGAAAGAGGTGTCAAATGTCATATAATTCAACTGCTTATCCACATTCAGGATCAACTATGCCCATCTTGTTGACAGAGGCTTGTCTAATCCGTCCTTAAAGACTTCTATCCATGAAAAAGTCCAGGTTCTTTGGAGAGGATCTATTCCTAATCTTAATATGTTTACAGTTTAAAAAGTTCTAGTATTCATGAACCTTTCTTCCTTCAATCTAAGCCAATTTGCTTCTTGTCCTGCTCACCAAGGGCATGATGAAGAGATTATTCTTTTCCTCTTTGCAACAACTTTTCTCTGTGTTTAAAGACTTCCAGACTCGCAGATTTCCCCTTTAAGCTGAAAAAATCCAGTTCATACATTCTTTCTCATACAGCATGTATTTCCTATCTCTAAATGAACAATTTTCTGATATTTGAGCTTTTTCTAGTTGTCTCATGTCTTTCTCCAATGACAGTGCATGAACTGGAGACACTATTTCAAATAAAGATTTTTCAATGCTGAGCAAAGGAATGGTAACTCCAGACGCCATAGTTGTTTGCCTGCTTACAAATCCTCTTCTTATTTTCTTTTTTTTTAAATTTATTTAATACTGTTATTCTAAGTTCCAAGTTTGCTTCTTTAATACCCACATTCTTCTCTGCAAAACCTTGTCAGAGAGTTGTTCTCCACATTTTCTAGCTAAATTCTTCTGAGTTCATATATCTTATATTTGGGATTTAATGACATGACAAAGCTATCAATAGCAAAATGTTTAATCTCCTGACCTTAACTCCCTTTGTGTTAGCTACATTTTCTTATAATCTTGTAATATTTAGTTTAAATGCATCCTCAGTGGAATAATTATTTTCCTTAAAGGATCTCCGATTTGTACTCTCTACAGTGTTTTCAAAACATCAGTGAAACTGCTGAGTGTGTAAATGAATGAAGATTATACTTCATTTTAAATTATATATAAAGAAATAAAGTAAAAGGCACTTTCAGGAAATGAAGAGAGTGAAATTTCCATTTTCATAATGAACAATCTGACCTTTCTTCTAATCCTTAGCTGATTACTTTGTTCTCATTATGAAACTAGTTGAACAGAGAGTATTGCATTCTTCCTGCTTAAGGAAACCAACCACCCATCTCTCTCCAAATTACCGAACATGTTAAAATATTTCACAAGCCCTTTTTAGAATAAGTTTTCAAACAATACCTTAGCAAAAATGAAAAGAAATAATTAAGATTTAAGACTGGGAGAAAGAGGCTGACCCTCTTCTCCGGCTTACCAAAGATACTGAAGACTAATGTAATGTGACTGCAATAGACTCCCAGTGTCAACAAAATATTCTTCCACCTCTTGATATGGAAGGGAGATTTCCTTAGAAAGGCCAAAACCCCTTGCAAGATTTCCAGCATAAGTAATGGATTCCTTGCCCATAATTATTTCATCTTTCTGCAGAGCTCTAGTATTAGGTATCTCTGTGAGCCTCTGTGAGTTAGCAATGATAGCCAATGAAATATTTTACATGACGTGAAAAAACAAATCATCTGTGGTCTCAGAATCCTCAGAATAGAACATATTTCATTACACATTTTTTTCTACTGTCTACATTTCTAGCAGATGAATCTGCCAGTGGAATTTTAATTATCTGTGAATATATAGAGATTCATGTTAGGATTTTTGAAGAGCCCTGAAAGAAGGCTTTAGACTCATTGAAACTTGCAGTCTTTCCATCAGAAATCTATTATTTATCCTTATAAGGTGTGTAACAGGTACTTAAATGTTCTTTTCTGAAATGTGCTTGTCTAGTATGGGGAAAAGCTTTTCTAAAAAGAAAACAGTTCCTTTTTGCTGTATATTTGCTTAATATCATCCGTTACAAATTTCACGTTCATTCAGCATTGGTTAACATCATGTAGGCTGTAATGGCAATCAGGTTTATTCATAAGGGTTTTTTTATTCTTATTTATTTTAAATGGTGAGAGTTGTTCTGAAGAAGCAGGCCAAACTGACAACAGTGAGAAAATCCCTAAGTCTCAGGTACTTTCAGGTTTCTTTACTCTAAATTTAAAGCACAAGAAGCAAGCTTCCAATTACACATAACTTGACCAAATATCAGTATTTTGTCATGGATGTTTTCGCCACTGTAGAAAACTGATATAATTCTGCCTTTATAGTCTACAGGCATAAATAAATATCCAGATTATAGCAAAAAAATAAATGCCACAAGTTAAACTGAATGGCACTGGAACAGTTCAATGAAAGAAAAGGAAAGTGTAGTATGAAGAACATAATTCAGTAGATACAAAATTATGAACTTTCACTTATTCATAGGACATATGGATGTTCTGGGCGTAAATAGTTCTTCTAACATGTATCATCTTGAGAAGCTCTTCTTGGTTATTGTTACCCACATCATCTGTCAGGGAATGAGAAGACTGATCCAAAGTCCACTGGTGCCAGTGGGTATTGGATTAGTCTGAAGGGTCATGGTTCAAGTGTATCAACTAAAAATAAAAATCCTGATGCTAACTTATGAACCTGAGTCAGGCTCTGAAGCAACTTTGATATGGATTGGTGAAATTATTTAATAGACAAACAACCTCTAGTACTTGTTGGAAAATTTTAAACTGCATGGATTTTCTGCATGATTAGCTTTGCCTTAAAATGGAGTTACTGAGATCTAGCTAAGAATGTGTGCTTCAGAATACTAATGTCCTTCGCTGCATAAAGCAAGTATTGCTGTATACAGCCATGAGGGAAAAATGACCTAAATATCACATATACCAGTTTTATTGTAAAGGATGAGATTTTGGAAAACAAGCACAGTCAAAACAAAATTGACCTCTACACGGCCAATTTGTAGAACGTTATTATATTGAAGTGAACTTCTTATATTGAAATGTTTTAGGTCCTGCCTATGATCTCACCATTTGTGAAGTTAGAAATACATCCCTGGTTCTTCTGTGGAAAGCTCCTGTGTATGAAGGCAAAAGCCCTATTACTGGGTATTTAGTGGACTATAAGGAAGTAGATACAGAAGACTGGATCACTGCTAATGAAAAGCCTACTCCAAAGCGCTATTTTAAGGTAATATTTCCATTGGTTAGTGTTAATTCAAAACTTAGTTCAAAAACCCTTTAACTGACTGCAGCAAAGGTGTGTATTTGAATTTGGACTTTGGCTAACATCTTCATATAAATAAACATAAGAGTAGATTCTTTTTAAACTGGTTTTGCTCTTTGTCTTGTTCAAGGTCACTAATTTACAAGAGGGTCATAGCTATGTTTTCAAAGTTCGTGCAGTAAATGATGGTGGGATAGGCAAGTCATCTGAAATATCTGAACCAGTGCTTGTCGAGGCACGGCCAGGTAATGAACTGTTTTACCTCCCCTGCTTCTGAAATACTGAAATACTTAGAAGTGACTTTAATCAATCTGATTTGATATTGTAGAATAGATAAGTGTTTCAAGAGTTAAGAAGCTTTTAGCCTTAAAGCTTAAAGAAAAAGTATTGCGGATACAGAGGTCTTCAAGGCTTCCCATTTTACTTGCTGTGAGTAAAAAGAAGTATGACCACACATTTATTAAAGCTTCAAGAGTGATAATGAAATTAATTGACTTAAACTGTTCATATCTCATATTAATTTTCATTTTGTATATTTGCCTCTCAATAAGAATTTATTATTTTTAAGATTCCTTTTTTTTTTTTTTTTGCTTGTATAGTGTAAGAATCATGCTAGTTTGTGATGCTGAGTCAGCATATGACATAAACAGGGTTCAAGATCTGCAAGTAAGATCTGCAAGTACCTGTTACTGAAAATGGTCAAAATTTGCATGGGCTTTAGTAATTTCTGAATTGTAGCTCAAAAGAGAAACGCAACCTTGATATTTGAGCTGATTCCTTTTTTGCAGGAACAAAAGAAATCTTTTCAGGTGTGGACGATGAAGGTAATATTTACCTGGCTTTTGAGTGCAAAGAAGCTACAGATGCATCTCATTTTGTGTGGGGTAAATCATATGAGGAGATTGATGATTTTGACAAGTTTAAGATTGAAACAGAAGGAAGTTGGTAAGTCTTGCCAGTCTACCAAATTATTAGACATTTGTCATGTTAAACATTCCAATAACATTAGAAAGATTGCTAATTATATCCTTTATTGGTGATTTTAGTTCAAAGCTGTACTTCAAAAATCCTGATAAATCAGACTTGGGAACTTATTCTATCTCAGTTAGTGACACAGATGGAGTTTCATCCAGCTTTGTTATGGATGATGAAGGTAAGGTTTTTATTGGCTAAATCTTTCTTCATTTTATCACCTCAACTGCCTTAAAAGTTGTCCAAGAAAAAAAAAATAAAAAAAATCCCATAACTCTCACTTTCTTTCCTACACACAACAAGCTTTGTGTGAGTACTTATTTTTCTGATTATCACAATAATGGAAGTGGGCATAAATTAAGGCAATATTCTCTTAGAAAAAATAAATAATATGTCCAATTAGAATTGTTTTTTTATGCTGGGATATAATGCTGTTTGTAAATGTCTGTTACACTTTATATGTCTGAAATTCTTTGGTTTTTTGATTGTTTTGTGAATCTCTTTTTCTAGTTTGTTGCTTTTGCTCTGCTTTGACTTTATAGCTTTTTACATTTTATAATAATTGGTTCTCTATTAGCTTTAAAGTAACCATCAGATTTTTGTTTATCATGGAGCCCAATATAGAGACAGACCTTGAGGGTCTAGGTATAGTTTCATAAAACTTAGATGCAGAGAATTAGTGAGAAGAATGTGAGAAAAAAAGATGTTGCTTTAACATCTGAATACATTGGGTTGAATGACCCTTTGGTTTAAATTTAAATTAGTTTGGGTTTATTTCATTGTAGCTTTTTTATTTCATTTGAGATGCAACGAATTTTGCTTTAGGCTGACTTTGGCTTACCATAGAGAGGTGCTGAGGTGAAAGGCAAGGCAGGGGACTTTTCTGATTTCAGGTAGCACAAAAATTACTTTGATGCTTTCCCAGTCCACAGGCTATAATTGCTATGCCTTGTTCCTTAAGTATGAAAATCCCTCTACTTACCTTCTTTCTAAGGAGACAATGTAAGACTGAGTGTGAGCCTGATAGCAGACAGGGCTTTATCACTGTATGAACCATGTCCAACCTCCCACCCATAACAGGTGTTGAGAATAAACCCATATGCAGCCACAAAAAATATGTTTCTCCAGGACATGGACCATTAGTGTGGACTCCTGGTTATTACCAATACCTGCTTCTTCTAGGGAAGCTAAACTGTAATATTTTTTATTTTCCATAGAGTACTGTAGGAAAAGACAGGTATACATTTGAGCATGAGAACTTCCCTTTGGTTTAGTTTTGAAGCATCACTTTGAAACCTGTCTGTAAGTTTTGACACTGTTAGTGGAAGTTTTTTTTGTAGAAGAACACTGAAGGTGCTTCCCATCCATCATCTAGCCCATGTCTTTCCTTGTCATATCTGTAATTCAAAATTACACTTTTATTTGTACTGGATCGTTGCACAAGTGCTGTATTTTCATCTTAGCACCAAACCCCATTCCTTCACTCCCCATTTACTTCCTCAAATGCTATAAATTCTCTTGTAATTTTGCTAAATTCTTGACCATATCATAAATCTCTGCTAATTTCCTCTAATCTTTTCATTATCTCTAAATTTGCAATTGGCAGTAATGTTCATCTTACAAATCTTTATTCCTAATGAATACGATAAATAGGGTTAGTATGATATTCTAATGAAGTGATTTCTAGACTTTCATGCAGATTTTATTAGGATTCAGTGGCTAAAATAGAACTTTCTGTACCTTTGTCAGACTAGCTTGCACTCAATCTTGTTTTCTGCCACAGTAAACCAAACTTTTCGGGTACAGTGTCAGAAGGAAAGTAAGTAGATAAAGAAACTTCATGTGTTCAGAAGCTATTGCCTCCCGTCTTTTGTTTAAATCCAACAGAAAGCTTAAAATGGGTTTCATCCCTTGTTTAGATTATTTTTCATAAGAGGGTGTGCATGGAGATGAATGAAATTGTCTAAATGTATGCATCAGAATTTTAAGTTTCTTAAATATTATTATTTCTTCTTTTTAGTCATCATTTTCTGAAGACAGTTGGGTATTTAACAAGTAAGACTTGAGATCATATGCTGATGCTGATATGTACCTTCTTTGATATTTGTTTTCTGACTGTATTTTTCAGAATAAATTAAAACATGAGTATTTTTCTTCATTCCAGAGTTTGAACGTTTGATGGCATTAAGCAATGAGATAAAGAATCCAAGTAAGTTGAAGATCTCAATCTATTTGATACTTTTAGAAGAATTATAATAACATACTAATGGCTGGAGTTCCAAAAAGATTCTTCCTGAAACAATGGCAGCTTCATTGTTCATGGAACAACTTGTTTTCTTATCTTTTCATTCATCTGAAGAATATTCTCTTGCACTGAATAAAATAATCTTTGCTTACAAGTCTTTTGCAATTTAACTTTGATGAGAGACTATAAGTTGCTGCTAGCCAATTCCTTAAAAAATGTGCAAACTATAAGCTGCAAATTCTTTTCTTTCTTTGAGAAATAAATTTACAAATCAGCCAAAGATGGCTTTAGATGTATTTTCCCTGCATAAAATTTATTCTATAGCCAGCATTCCATAAATAAGAGGCAAATACTAATATTTTACTACAGTAGTCCTTTTTCTCACAAGAATTCATGCATTATTGACTTTTGATTGCTTTTCTTTCTGCAGCAATACCTCTGAAATCAGAATTAGCTTATGAGGTTCTTGAGAAAGGACAAGTTCGTTTCTGGATTCAGGCTGAAAGCTTATCACCAGATTCTACCTTCAGATTTGTTATTAATGATAGAGAAGTTGAAAACAGCGATGTAAGTATATATTCAGTACTATATATGTGTGATTTTGTTTAATAAACCTTTCTGCATTAATAGTTATTCTGTTTTTATCATAGAGCCATAGAATCATTTAGGTAGGGAAAGACCTTAAACATCTGCAGAGGTATTGGTATATATAACCTTTGAAGGTCTCTTCCAACCCAAACTGTTCTATGGTTCTATAAACATTGAGTTCAACTGTTAAACTAGCACTGCCAAATCCACCACTCATTTCAGGTAGTTGTAGAGTGATAAGGTCCCCTGTGAGCCTCATTTTCTAATGCAGGTTAAACAACCACAGTTCCTTCTGCTTCTTCTCATAAGACTTGTGCTCTAGACTCTTTACCAGCTTCGTTGCCCTTCTTTGGACACACTGCAGCAGCTCAATGTCTTTATTGTAGGGACGGGCCTAGACCTGAACACAGGATTTGAGATGTGGCCTCACCAGTGTCAAATACAGGTGGACAATCACTCTTTTAGCCCTGCTGGCCACACTATTTCTGATACAGACCAGGATGCTATTGGCTTTCTTGGCCACCTGGGCACAAGCCAGCTCAGGTTTAGCTGGCTGTTGACCAACATCCGTAGGTCCTTTTCCACTGGGCGGCTTTCCAGCCACTTCCCCAAGTGGAGAGAACAGCCGCTCAAGCCATGAGCAGCCAGTTTCTCCAGGAGAGTGCTTTGGGAAACGGTATCAAAGGCTTTACTAAAGTCTAGGTAGGCATCATCCATGGCCTTTCCCTCATCCACTAAGTAGGCTACCTTGTCATAGAAGGAGATCAGGCTAGTCAAACAGGACCTGCCTTTCATAAATCCGTGCTGACTGGGCCTGATCACCTGGTTGTCCTGTATACGTGGTTGTGCCACATGATGGCACTCAAGATGATCTCCTCCATAGCCCTTTCTGGCACCAAGGTCAGGCTCACAGGCCTGTAGTTACCTGGATCCTATAGCTGCTTAAGGTCTGATAACACATGAGGAGTGCCATTCTTTAACTTGAATCTTTTTGCAGGATTAATTTCCTGTTGCAGAGTGAGACTATACATACAAAAAAAAAAAAAAAAAAAGAGAGCAAAGTTTAAG